AATTCATTCTATCTTTCTTTCTTCTATGTCTGGCAGAGTAGATCTGAAAAGCAGGTATTACTTAAATATATAATTTCAGCATCGATATCATAAGAATTGTACTTTACATGTCGTTTATAATAAATTCCTCCTCAAATTATATAGCACCATTTGATTTACTACAGTATGAGTCTTTTTATTTTTTAGTTTATTTATAGTATATGCATGCACTTGTATATACTATAAGTTTTAAGGAATGTCACACGCATATTGCACATATTTTTTAAAATTAGATTTGGGTATTTTATCATTAAATATGGATTTTGGTTCAATTTTTCTAAATTAAATGATAAGTGTGACTTTATTGATAATGCAGTGTATATTTATTCAGTTTAAGTCAAGGGTCCATATCTTAACCATTAGTTTTTGAGACAGGTCCCTTGTCTATGTCTTTACATGAGTATGTTGGTTGGGGGTAGGGGTAGTATCCAAGAAAAAATATTAAGAGTGCAAAAAGAAATATTCCCCAGAAAGCCTGTGTAACTTACTAGATTATCAAAATGTTTGCTTTGAGCTACAGTTTTCATCGAAATTTTTTTTTGACAGATACCCATATTAGGAATATTTGTGATACGACCTAGAATTCTTGTTGTGAATTGGACATGTGGGACGTAAATAATATTATCTATTTTTCTTGAATTCACAAGTATATAAAACTGGCCATTCTAGTGGTACATTTGTATCGCCTAGCACCCAGACAGATCAAGGGGTTTTGTAGCGCAGCTGTTTGTCGTTTCGAGATAAATGATCATATGAATAGAAACTATACTATGCATATCCATTTCACAAGACTTCAAATAATTTTCATGGCATTGATCACGTTTTGAAATAAATTCCTTTAAAAACCTAGCTTTTGACTCCTAAAACTAACAGATTTATATTTAGAAATAAATGTACAGTAAAACCTGTCTAATCCGAATGCTATTGGGACCGGCTAAAAGCGTTCAGATTAGGAGATAAAATGTAGATTAAATGTAATATTTATATTGACCACATAGCTTTATGGCATTCCAAAATCCTATTCAAATTAATTTTTAAGTTTTGATATTACAAATAACAAGTGTTAAATTGAAAATATTTGAGCAATTTTGTCAGAAATATGTGATATTTTGGGAGAAATGTTCAGATGTTAATTCAGGTTAATTTTTAAAATATGAGTGTTAATTGTTAGAATTTGCAGGCATTCAGATTTCAAGGTTTCAAGGAAAAAATGGGTCCAGAAAAAATGTTCGGATTGAAAGGTGTTTGGATTAGCCAGGTTTTCGGATATACATGTTTCACTGTACAGTACAAGCCCTTGGATTGGTTGATTAAATGCACTTTATACTTCCTCGTTGGCAAAAGTGCACCTCCAGTATCCAGGCACACTGTTGTATGTTTTTTTGCACATTCACATATAATACACTGTGCATTGTGTAATATGAAGAAAGATTAGGAAAACGATTGGAATAAAGAATTTAAGTAATATGGGGAAAATATTGAAGTAATAAGAGGAAATGTTTCAAATGAAAAATGAAGTAATATAATCAGAAATTACTTTTAATATGGACCTTTTATGTGTATTGCATGTACAAGTACCTAGAATTGCAACATTTCTTTTTTATTATCCGAAGTGTAAAAGAGACATTGAGAATAAAAATACATTTAAAAACATTTCAACCAAGTAGCAGTAATAAAACATGAGAATAAACATGTTTTATTTTGTTTACGTCCACATTTTACTTTTCAAATATGAAAATATATTTTATGTTTTTTTTGTTATCAATGGTTACGTGAGTGTGACAATACACATGCTCTTTTGCCCTTTTGTGATTTGAAATTGCATGTAGTTTACAAAGTAACAATCAAAGTGAGACATCACCGTTATGATTATGCTTTGTGCTGTTGTTCTTACAGTTTCTTGGCAAACTGGTATTACATCTAGAAGGTCATTGAAGGTGAAATCTCAAATCTAAAGTGAGATTTGAACTTCTGAGAACATGTAGATGATTTTTTAAAAAAAGGTCAATTTGAAGCAAGATGAAAAAATACCTTTTTGACCTTGAGAAGGTCATTGAAGGTCAAATATAAATTCTACCAGTTTGAGTTATATCTCTAGTAATGTCTAAGTGTTGTTTGAGGCAGCAAGTACTGAAACAGTAGAGTTTTTCTTTGAAAGTGAATCACAATCACTTTGCAATACAGTGTTCTCCCCAGGATTTTTCTCAAGTTGGTGCAGAATTCTCATTTTCACAATTCAGTGCAAAATCAGTCAAAATATACCCATTTTACATGAATTTTCTCATTTTTAAGTGGGTGCAAATGAAATTTCATTTGGATGCAAGCCTATTTTTAAAATCTCTGGTGGGTGCTGTGCTCACTTAAATGATGGGGAAATCACTGCAATATAAATAATGGTCAGCTACTAATCAAAATGAAGCACCCATATTAATATTTGAACATATTTAAAGTTCTTAGAATTTCTTGGAAAACTGAAATGATTTACCTCAATTTCGTACTCAATTTCAAACTTTTTTAGGTTAGGTTTTATGAGCATATTTTTATATAAATATATAGTACTTAAATTGTGAAGTACTATTCACAATCCTAACTTAAAGTACATTTCTAGTAATATTCAAGTGCTAATTGAGACAGTTACAACTTTCAGGACAATTTGTAGGTGAACCACTTACAGTTTGATGCAAAATGTAACCCTCGAGTTTTAGGATAACTTGTGGAGATAGATACTTTACATAGCTCAGGGCCTAAGCAGAAGCATTAAAGGCCCCATGTAAAGTTTAAACCACTTTGGCTTATATTGTAGTCTTACCCAATGTTATCAAAGTGTGATATGTGAAACTTTTTTTTTAAATTTCAAAAAGTGGTTTTTGATAGACTTTTTGTTCCAAAATTTGTGAATTTATTTAAAACCAACTTTAAGAGGTCACTCATATCTTCTAATTAGCCACAATTCATACCAATGCATAGCATTCATCCTCCCATGTTTTTTGCCGAAAAAATTAAGAAAATCGGTTGATAAACAAGCGAGAAATGAACTTATCAGTGCATGAAAATGGTTCTGAGAAAAATGCATTTCAAAATTTTAGTTCTCATAGAAACCAATGGTACAATGATATCTAAAACATAATTTATTCTTCCTTTTAACCTGGTTAGACAATCAACATTGGTTTTTTATGAAAATCTAGCATATTTAGAAAAGATTGACATCGAAAAAAAAAATTCAATTTTTTTCAAAAAGTTTTTGTTACCTTAGTGACATCACTAATGTTTCAAAATATTTTTGATAAGCTAAAACATTGAAGTGGCCCATTAAATATGACATTTTATTGTGTCTTTTGTTCAATCTTTGCATTGGTGTTAAAAAGATAATCTTTTTTGAAATGCATTAAGAAATATTTGATGATTAAGAAATTTCAACTTTTTTTGAAAAATGGCGGCAAATTTGAATATTTGAGAAATGAAATGCTCACAACTTTTTTTTCAAAAAAATTTTTTTGTTCAAAAATCTCTAAAATCACTTTTTAATTCCTGACAAATAGTAAATGAATGATAAAAAAATATTTTCAAACTTTAGACTTTTTCCATGGTGCTTTAATCCATATATATAACTCATTGTATGCTTTCAAAATTGATATTGAATATTGTATGGTGTGTTCAATATTAAATAATAAAATATTAAGTTGATATTTTAAGTTATTGAATACCCTAAGAAGGAAGACTGGCTCTCTTCATGAAAGACATTACAAAATCAGTCGTCCATAATAAATTTCAATTTTTATTGATATACAAAGTATATGTAGCTAATAGGAATCGATGGGTGAGCATTCTGTTTCTACATATCAGACAGTGAATCAATTTAAGATGGTTGCCAAATGGCAACAGGTGTCGAAAAATGAAATTGATTTTATTTGGAGGATCCCAGGTATATGGCAATGTCAATAGTAAAGAATGTTGATTTTTGAAAAATTCAAGTGAAAAAAAATCATCATTGGGGACAAATTGTTGGTGACAAATTATTATGGTGTTTTATGGACTATTTTTGAATGGCGTTTGGTGTCCAGGTCCAGGTCTGTTACAAATGACAGGTGGTGACATTTTGCATATGAATGCCTTGTTCCTTATATGGGTGGGAGAGGGGGTGTTAAACAATAGCAAAATTAACTTTGTTTTTCCCAATTGTGAACATTTGGACAACATCCCTTAACAAGGACACATAATATGTTAAAGTGAACATGTGTTTATAACTTTATACCCATAATCTTAAGTAACTAGTTTTACATGCTTTATCTCACTGAGATAGGGAACTTCACAATCTACACCACTCTTTCACATATGAAATAAAACTTATGGGAAATGTAAATTATATATTATTCTACACAGCCAATCAAAACGGTTGTTTTTTGCCCATTTCCATACAGGATCTGAGGATGAGATTCCTGTCTCTGAAGAGTATAAAAGCCATAGATACCCATAAAGGATGTTTGTTTACGTACTTGTTCACTTGGTTTATTTGGAGCCTATCCTCCCATATGCTCATACTGTAGCTCATACCAGACTGCCTGTTAGCTGTAGACTGTATGCTGTAAACTGTAGGCTGTAAAGTGTAGGCTGTAAAGTGTTCTTGCTTTCTAGCTTGCTTTTCGTCGTCTTCAAAAATGCATCATGCATGCATCTTAATCTAAAACCTCTAAGCTAAAAATATTTATATTCTTGAACATTTGTATTTATCCTTGATCCCATTTTCTCAATATATGATTGTTTTAGTTTAAAGACATGTGCACGAATCGCATTTTAAGAATTATGATGTTGTTGAAATAAAACTCTACGATGTAGCTTCAGCTACTGTAACTATATAGTTTCTAAGTATCTTCATTATTTATTTTGACAATCAGAAGTATAATGCCTGGTTTGTTATAGTCATATATTTTAATTTAATTGAAATTATGAAACATTTTTTGTAGATAATACACGCTATTAGAAGAGTTGAACACAGCAAGAAACGCCTACGTGCTCTGATTGATCAACTTGTCGCGACGTGTCTAGAGGTTGGTCCCCATCTTATTGAGGGATTACCCAGGATGCAACTCAATACAGGAATAAACGTTGATGTTCTCAAAAACCTTAGTAAAGACTTGGTAGGTGTATGTACTAATGCCATATGGCTTGGGTGCAAGGAGGATTGGAAGCCAGGGTTCCAACTCGATATTCTTTAATCTCCAATCGGTTCGGCCGTTTCCAATCCTGCCGATATTCTTGATTGAATTTTGTGTCCATAACATGACTACATGTACCCATATGTGGAACAGAATATCGATTGGCATTCCTGGGACCCAATGCTCCTTGGGCAGGGTGTTTACAAAATGCTAAGGCCATTAATGCCCATATAAGGACGAATGAAAATTCAGGAAAGCATGTCATCTCTTATATGGTCTATGGCCCATATAAGCATATAGGCATATTCTTTTTTTCTTTCTAATTCATCTCCAAGAAGTGAAGTATTTGACAACGATTTCAGTAACAAATCGTTACACTTTTAATCGCAACCAGGTGGTCATATTTTACCATACCTTGTCTTGTACATGTTAATATAAGAAGCCATTTTTTCATATTCAGCTCCTGGGTGACCTTCAACAGAGAGAGATTGACCACAAATGCTTAGAGGACTATGCCAATATACTGCTCCAGAGGATACGTGATGAGCAGCCTGAAGTTTTAAGTACAGTTCTTATGCTATTAGACTCAGAGCCCCCTACTACTAGTTGCAGTAGCAGTGGCAGCAGCTAGCATATAATATTGATTATTATCATATGTCACCTGGAAATATTGATGCATGATTGGTCAACAGCAAGCCTATAATATTTATTATCATATCTCTTATGGAAATACTGATGCCTGATTGGTCAGGTGAGCCTCCCTTATAGTTGCAGTAGCAGTGGGAGCACCTAGCATATAATTTATACTATCATATCCTGGATGGAAATACTGACATCTGATTGGTCAAATGAGCCTTCTTTATAGTTGCAGTAGCATTGAAGCATCTAACGTGTAATAATGTTACCATATCTCAAATGTTGTTGTTAGCAACCAGAGGAGGCTTTATTTATCCCCATGGCAACCATAATCATCATATCTGCAAATGTTATTTTTCATTTTGAAAGGTGTATTATTCAAAATGTTTCATTTAAAGTGTAACATATAATTGTTGGAAATTAAAAGATGTAGATGTACATAAACTGTAAAGAATGGTTCCTAGAATTGTCAACCATAACTGCAATGAAATGAAATTAAGTATCATTGTCATTTTTCATTTAACAAGGTATTCAAATTTCACCTATGTTTGAACATATTTTTACAAGATCTCCTGCACTGTATAATTATGTAACAATTGCAATTAATTTCAATGTCTTCATATTTATTGAATGCCCCTCAAACATGTATTACATTCTTACTAGAAAGAATGAATACTATATCATAGTAATATAATAATTTAAACTGTATATGCTGAACTCAAAAATAACAGACTTTGAATAAATAACTCATTTATGTAAAGAGATAGGGTAGTTGAGTATGTCGGCGTACAGTAATATTATGAAAAAGTGCCATGTGTTCTCCAACCTTTTTTTAAATCAGGTTGGTTGAGTATTTGGGCGTACAGTAATATTATGATAAAGTGCCATGTCTTCTCCAACCTTGTTTAAATCAGGGTGATTAAACATGTGAGCGTACAATAATATTATGATATGACGCCATGTCTTCTCCCACCTTGTTAAAATCAGGTTGGTTGAGCATGTGGGCGTACAGTAATATTATGATAAAGTGCCATGTCTTCTCCAACCTTGTTTAAATCAGGGGGTTAAAGATGTGGGCGTACAGTAATATTATGATAAAGTGCCATGTCTTCTCCAACCTTGTTTAAATCAGGGTGGTTAAACATGTCGGCGTACAGTAATATTATGATATGATGCCATGTCTTCTCCAACCTTGTTTAAATCAGGGGGGTTAAACATGTGAGCGTACAATAATATTATGATAAAGTGCCATGTCTTCTCCAACCTTGTTAAAATCAGGTTGGTTGAGCATGTGGGCGTACAGTAATATTATGATAAAGTGCCATGTCTTCTCCAACCTTGTTTAAATCAGGGGGGTTAAACATGTGAGCGTACAATAATATTATGATAAAGTGCCATGTCTTCTCCAACCTTGTTAAAATCAGGTTGGTTGAGCATGTGGGCGTACAGTAATATTATGATAAAGTGCCATGTCTTCTCCAACCTTGTTTAAATCAGGGGGGTTAAACATGTGGGCGTACAGTAATATTATGATATGAAGCCATGTCTTCTACACCCCTGTTAAAAGCCTGCCAATATTAGAAGTGCAATACTCTACTGGAATACCAGTTTTAGTTGCTTTAATTGTTTTCATACTAAGTCAAAAAATATTTATACAATGTAGTTCAAAAACGCCGTTATTTTTCAAAGCGATATGCAATTAAATAAAAATTATAATTCTTTGAAAAATTGCTTTTTTGATCTACCCTATTTATGCCTGGGTCATATTTGCTCCGATCCATCATCATTGCCCCCGGCCGATTGAGTGAATGAAAATCGGAGCAAATGTGACCAAGGCATTAGCAAGTAGACAATTGTATTAGTATTTGATTTGAAGGTGCTTTATACTATTTCAGTCCAATTTGCCAAATAAATGTGAAAATTGTATCCAAAAGTGTACGAATAACAACAGTGTAAGCATGTAAGCATGCATAACATATTTATCCTAGTATAATAAATTCTAAACGTATAGATATTATTTGGTAAAGCCTCTCACATTGCAATCATACTGTGTAGTTTATCTGATGATACCATGTTCTGGCAATGCAAATTAAGTGGAGCACTCAGTATGCCCTCATGTAACCATCTCACCATGTGGTCATTGGTGTTCGGCAGGCGGCATCTGTAACATATGGCAGGTGGTCACATATTTTGAATTTTTTGAAAAGTGAACCCCCTTGACAAAATCTGGCTACGGGCCTGCATATCTACTTATCTGAAAATTTTATAGGTATGATAATTATGTGGTCAAACTCCATGAGATATCTTTACTTTACAATCATCAAACTATCAACTTTATTTGTACAAGATATTGTCATTTCATGTTTTTCTCACATAGTAAGTTTATATTAATTTTGACAGATTAGATATAGATATCAGTTATTGACTAGGAAGTGAATTTACTGGTAACATTTTAATGCAAAAGTTGTTTACAACACTTTATGTGAAAATGATAACAGCTGTTTATTGTGATATTTTGAATTCAAAATTCTAGATTAGTAACAAACTAGTTTGAATATTGACACTATGTTTTGAACTTAATAAAAAACAAATATTGTTCTGACATGTGTAAATATATGCCTTCATGACAAAGAATTCAGTATTTTGTAGACAATGCACAATAGAATCTCTCAGATAAATTCAGGGTGTTCAGTATTTGTAAACATGATTCATTGAGATTATTGTTTTTCACTAAACTTTACAGATGAAGTTCTATATCATTCAAATACTCTCTCTTGGGATGTGAAAATCTGTTTTAGATATTCTTAAGTGTCAGGAAGCAAATTATTGAACTTTCAATAACTTTTTTTTAAATGTGTTTCATTCAGGTGCTTCTGTCGAACTCGAATGCAGTGTCTCGGTATAGACACTGCGACGGGCAGATTATGGAATCCCCAAAATTTGGGGAAGATAGTCCCCCCTTTTTGTCACAGATGTACTTGATTTTCATACAACTTATAAAGTATATGTTCTTTTATGTTCACCAATCATTATTTTGTCAAAATATTTCAAAATTATTGAAATATGAGAAGAAATCACCGCGGAAGGAATTCTGAGTAAAAGTTTTGTTGATAACTGTTTACCGCACGTGTTGTTTATTAGTTAATACGCGTAATTCAACCAATGAAATTGTCTAAATTTTACAATCACGCGACCTGAGCATGGCACTAGAACCAATCATGTCAGTTGTTTATTACGAAGTTACCATGCTTACGATGAGATACCTGCCCGCCGCAGTGATATTATCACTGCACGGGAGTTCGGTGCTTCTGTAAGTAAATATAGTATGTCCAATTATGACTCAAAATTAAGATACCAGCATTGGTCATTTAAAAGAACATGTCCATAATATTAGATTATTTGAAAAACCCACAGGTAAATTATGGTGCTGTACTTTCAAAAGGTATTTCCTCTAGTGTTGCAATAGAAGAATAACAGTTGGGCCACATCCTGTCAAAATTTCATTTTGGGTCTCATTTTTAAAATTATTATGAAATGCCCCATAATTTTCCAGGGGATTGTTAAAACACCCAACTGTATTTAAAGTGACCACCTGAAAAATATAGGCTATCGGTCTTGAAGTAGATGACTGAGAAAATGCAATTTGTTAACTGACAGTAAATGCAATCGGTATAAATGCAATTTGTTGATTGACAGTAAATGCAATTTGTTAACTAACAGTAAATCTATGTTGTATTGTATTGTATTAATTGCTTGCTTGCCATATACAGGGTGTTTAATAAGTCCTGATAACTGACATATAGTCCAGCAAACATGTTACAACACTTTTGTAGTTGTACTTATTGAACACCCTGTAGTTTATTGTTTTGATACATTGATAGCTGCCACCTTTAGTAGTTCTAGGATAATGGAACATAATTTTGGGTAATATGTTACACTTGTCATGTACATCAGAGCTTTCTCTCTGAAAAATGTGAAATCACGGATCCCCGTGAAATAACTTTTTTACTTGAAAATGTGAAATAACCTTTTTGTTCTGTGAAATAAATTATATTTTTCTCTCGAAAATGAGAAATAGCAGTTATTTCTGTGTAATTGATGATCTTTTTCTCTCAAAACATGTGAAGTAACTGCTTTTGATTTTCTCTTGAAAATGTGAAATACCTGATCCTTTTCTCTTTAAAATGTGAAACAACTTCTCTCCAAAACGGGTAAATTAAACCTCCCTAATTTAACAGTAAAAAAACAAAATTTGAGGTTTCAATTTTTCTGTAAGTTGGTCAAACTATCCTACAAAAACAGCAACTGAGAGGATACGATTTGTGTATTATTTTTATTTACTTGTTAAGTTTCATTTCGCGGTTTTGACATGGCCAGTATAGCATATGAACTCAAGGTGTGGTGCTATGAAGTACAGTAAAACCTGTGTATATTGAACATTTTTTACCAAGAAAAAACGTTTAAGTGTTGGACACGGACCTCTGCCAGATTCCTCCTATAGTATTCATCTCAAGGCTCAATGAATATACTCATTATTCCATTGAGTCTACTACCAATGAGGACTGGAGCTGGCTCGGGGTTTGTGGTGTTGGACGGTAGGATTTCACTACAGAAAGGGTAATTTATTCAGAAGTCATTAAGAGTATGTGCTGAGGAAGGGTGTCTCTTATGGACAGGTAGGTGTTCACTAACACCGGTGTTGCTGTAATCCCATCACAACAATTCAAACTAGGAAGATGTGAATTTTATTATGTGTGTATTAAACGATATTTGTAAAGAATAAATAAATGATGATACCTTTTCTACGAATTAATTGTGGGTTCCTTATTGTTACGCCAAAGACTATAAAGTATTTCACAATAAGATTTGGCAAACGGGACATATTTCAAATTTCCAGGGAGGCCAAAAAATCTTGACACATTATTGATAAATTAGTTCATTTAAGTTCCGTTAATAATTAAGGAAATAACATACATTGTAATTGAACAAATAATATAACAATAATTTTACACAAGTATGACACAAAAGAAATTTCGCTTTTGACACGCCTGTGAATATTGCATGATTCGTATCATGACCAATTTTTTTTATTTTTAGTAATGAGTTTATTTCAATATATTTCATTTTGACAATTCAAATACATGAATACTGGATGGGCATTTCTATTGCCTCTTATACTTATATGCTTGCCGTTTTGTGGCGAGCCAGTGTTTCCTGACAAACTCCTGAATATCGTTCACTTTGAAGTTTGACTCAGATGGAGTCATTAAATAGACTCCTTTTCCTAGATCTACTCTTCAGTTACAATCCGCCAAACAAAATATAATAGGGCACCTTTGTAATGAAAAAGGGACTTGTGTTCTCGGGGTTTAATGTCCCTCTCTATTGGCATGGTTTGCTTATTAGCTACGACCAATTAGAACCAGAAAGGGCATTTATAAAACGTGGTTATTTATCCCGGAAATAAATAAATATGATGTGTTCCAGGAAACAATGGCGGATATGGGGAGGTTGTTCCCGAGATCTGAAAGTGTAGTTCTAGTATCTTGATACTCATTTTCAAATTTGAATTTTATATATTTGAGCAAATGGACCCTTAATGTGTTTTTTGGGAAAACGGATCTCAAAGGGATGAAAAACATAAGCGGAATTCATGAAAAAAAATCCCCCGATTCTTCTACAAACAACTCGCCCCCCTTTGAACAAAAACGTTTGAGCAATTTATATAGAAATTAATTTATAAACAATTAAAGGAGTACGTGTTGTTGTAATACCAGTGGCCATCTCCCTTTTACACCTCCTTTGGCTTATTACTGTAAGAATTATATAAAATTATTTTCACAAATAAGACTCTTCTCAAAATTACTCTTAAGACATGTATCCTTTATGATACATGTAGTTATGTAAAGTTGATTATCCAAATATGTCTTTATTACTATAGAAAGCGTTCTTTTCGCTACTAGAAATGGAGTTAAAATTGCTATCTATCGGTGCATTGTCAATATGAGGACGCAATGAAGTCGATGTTTGAGGTGGAATGTTCCAATTTGAATTTTCCAATGTTCTGAATCCGCTGTACTCTTCGTCAGCGTTCGCAGAATGTGTCCATTTATGTCTGGGTGACTCTTCTAATTGCACAGGTGAATAGCGTGAACAGTGGTTTGAGTCTATGTCTCGTTTTATATGCGTCCCAAATTCGCAATGATTTGTCTCCAGAGAAGTCATTTCTTCCCGAACCACATTACGTGGATGTCTAGTCTGTAAAAGCGAACTCGTTGTTCGCAAATTTGGTGCATCCCGTGTTTGTGGTAGTACATTTAGTTTCCTATGGTTTTGTTGTCGAGATGTTGTCTGCATTTGAGGTCCATCATGAGATGTTTGTCCTGAAACAAATAAGAGATATCCAAAATAAAATCATCTTTAAACGGTGTGCTGTCGTAAATTGTCATTTTATTAATTAATTTTATTAATTCAAGCGTAAATTGTGAACATGCAGTCCTATGATAGTATCATTTTGCTTTTAACTTAATTTTGCTTCACCTATTTTCTGCCTCGGCGATTTTAAGATATTGCCTATACCGGACGGTGTTACGGCGGGTAAGAAAATTGAAGACAGCGATATTGGGGTTTGATTATACAAAAGTAACCTCAGAAAAAGCGCGTCTCTGAAAAGCACGTTTTCCCTCTTCCATAATGACTAACAACTTTTAAGAAAGATACTGACGTATTTGAGATATTTGAATAAATTAAATAAAATATTTTTATTCGTCTTTTTGAAATGAAAGGACATGTTAATTAAAAATCAAAATGACATTTCATCTATTCAAACCTACTTCTTTTTTCAATTATGTGATTCAATATCGCCTTATCTTAAATATCACACGAATAACATATACACCTGACAGATCCTATAAAACCAAAATATTTAATCATGAAGATGAAACAGGGGTGTAACCAGTGAAATCCCACGTCTGAATAATCCTAAGAAATCACAGGTTTTAAGGAGAATCATAGGCATGTTTAGTCAACACAATATATTAACTTCCTCGTACCTTTCGTATTATAATCCTTTTGTAAGCGAATTACTGTTATTTGCTCATAGGATGTGGAAGTAAATATCACGATAACAGGGTAATAAATGTAGGTCAGATAAGGCCTACATGTTGTATGAATCAGTCTGCGCCGATTTCGATAACATGATTTATACCCATGTTACCAATAAGTAATATTTCATGCTGATATTCAGAATTCTGAATCAGGTACATTGAAAAGGAACAGAGTTCGAAATTGGCAAAATTAATCGAATGCCCCATTAACTGACATATATTTACAATAAAATGTTTTTAATCTGTTAATGTGCTATTTCAAAAGATAATTTCTAGCTACAGGTTTTTTATTTGAAAGAATGTTTGCTTTTAGTTCAATAACGTATATTGTAGCTTACACCCCCTTTAATAAGTTTGGTTGCCATACTATCAGCGGAATGTTAAATTGTAACAGTATGTGATTTTCAACGATTTGAATGTTTATTACCAAAATTGAAAATAAAACAGAAAATGTCATCCATCTATTCTTATTCAATGGGATAGGCCTGGGGATAATAAGGATAAATGATGCTTTGTGGTCGGACGGGATTTAAAATAAGAGAAGCTACCTGTGAATGTCCGGTAGTGGAAGACGGTGAACTTGTGATGACAATTGATATTTTGAACATGTCAATCGGGGAGAATAGTAACCCTGCGCGCAGAGTCTAGTTATACACTACCGACGTTCTCTTTTAAGAAGGTAGTCGAATGAATACAAAGGGTAGAGAATAGTGGATTTTTCAAGTCAATTTATATTTTCTGGAAAATGTGTGTATGTACATCCAAAATTATTAATAATCACATTAGCACTAAATAAGGGAATAAAACAGGAAATTAGTCAAAGATGAATTTATCGAGTTTTTTTATTCTGTTCTATTGATGCGATGTATTTACGCCCATTGTCTCCATGGTCTTGTCTGTCAATGGCTGGTTCGCTACGCTCGCAATAGGCTAGCCCTGAAAGTCCCTTGACTGCTGTATGTGAACTCACCTATATTTTCAGTGTAATGTCTTAGAATTTTGGCGATTTCTACATGCCCTCTACTTTCTGCTTCATTCAGACAATTCTTTCCACAGTTGTTCCGAACTGTAGATGGCGCTCCGTGTCTCAGTAAAAGTCGGACTATATCGCAGAATCCTCTATAGGCGGCTATGTGAAGTACAGTGTCCCCATTGTCGTTCTGGAGATTTAACATTGCTCCGTACTTGATCAGCAACCTAGTGAAAAAATACAAATCCATTTTATGTGAAGAGCCAAAGCGCGTTTGGGTGAAAAACACTGAAGAGCTGTATCTCCAGTCCTAGGTTCATTTATATAAAAATTTCATTTAATTAAAAAAACATTAAAAATGAAGCTAAACTGAAATACGATTCTAAATCATTTCTAAAATACTACTAATGAATATAGTTGTCGCTCTATGAGAAAAGAACCATATGGGATAGAAAGTGATCCCCCAAGTTTTTATAATATGAACCGGAAGAATATCTCATCTTCCTAACCCAGTGCGCCCAAGAATCTCTTCTTGCAAAAAAGGCAAATAAATATAATTCGGGGCTTTGGCCGTCCAATATTTACCGGCCATAATTATTTTTCGGTTTTTTGAGCACGGGAATATATGTAGGAATCGTATTCACATTATTCATATTATTTCACTGATACTCAAAAATTAATTTTGATAACAGCAACTAAATGGCTCACTCGACCATTAACTTTGCACGCTTGATTATCTTCAATATTTCTGATTTCTGATATTAACAATCTTTGATCAGCTTCTTAGAAATGTAATTCAATCTCAGTGTCTACTGACTTATTAATCAATAAACGCTCTTATAAGTCTGATAAGACCATCCCATGGGGGGGGGGGGGGGTCGGAGGATGTTATCGCTATTTTTCTTTAAAATGCTGGGAAAATCCAGTGCATCCGCGAGCGCCGTTTTCAATGGCTTTAGATCCTGGCATTTACTTCAAATAGAAGTGGAGGTTACTTGCAAATGATATATTCATTGCATGGTGTAGGATTTCTTTGGTATCACCATGCGCATGGTATCACGTCTCAGTTGAAAAATAAATTGAGAAGTTTGCATAGTATTTTTATAACTTTGAAAATAACCCCGTGCGTTCATCTCGATTATTTTATGAAAATACTACACTTGCGATATTTAATGAATTAATTTTCATTAAAAACTGAAGCAATATAAACAACAAAGTTGGCCTTATGATAAATCAGTGATATTACCATTTATGCTTAATATGCGTAGGCCTACCAACATACTCGTATCAAAAAGAACTATGTGAAATACAAAACCTGTGACAATAATGCATATTTCTTAGTTTATTTCAAAAGCAATTTTTGAGTTAATAACAATAGCATAATTTATAACGTATGTTGTCAGTAAGTTTCGAGAACCATGTTACCGTAATATAACGCCATGCCTTTTCTATATTTATTAGTAACATTGTAGACTGATGCCAAACTTCGTGTACGTTTGGTCTGTGAAGTAGTAGTTATAAAGCAAAACATATTTATAAACTTGTATTTTAAGCATTACATTTTACAAGTATCTCACCTGACTGTATTTAATTTGTTGTTGTCCACAGCTCCAAAAAGTGGGGTAGCATTCCATGCGTTTTTGAAATTTACATTTGCTCCATTGGAAAGCAGCAGTTCAGCGATGTCTTCGTCGCCATAGCAACATGCTAAGAACAATGGATTCTCATTATTGAATTCATCAGCTTCGTCTATGTTTATCTTAGAATTATTTTGCAAAATTAAAATTCTAACTTTATTTTTATCTCGCTTTTTCACAAAATGAAGCAACGACATTGTTGTGCCTGGCATCAGTTTCTCGAGCATTACAAATAGATAAAATTTGCGATTCTTTGAACGACTGCCCTCCGCTCAGATTAGATAGTATAATTCCATTTAAAATTTTCATTTTCCTCCTTTTATCCCTCCTTTAATAGTTACGACACCCCCATTTATGAAAGTTGTTTATGGTATTATCATTGTGTCAATATACAAACATCCTCAATTGCGCACGTTACTTGAGTCACATTTCAAGGAATAACCAGACGCAGTTAACATTACTCTGAAACCATTGGTCAAATCTACATCCTAGATGATTATCGTCCCTCGATCTGAATATCTTCAAAATAAACTGTTTAACGATGTCATAAGCAAATACAATCATCGCCCTCTGAACCAATCACAGAGCCAGTATTTTCACCAAACAATTAGTAAATTTACTTCCTGGTTTGGCAACTACTAGTATGACTTTGCACTATCCCCTGGTGTAAACTGTTAATTATCTTAATGTACTTAGAATGATGAATTCAATGGATTTGTTATCAATTTGAGTGTCTTTGCCAAGATAATCTATAATGATAAACACAATGAATATGGTCACAAGATCATGATTAAAATTAGCCACCCATTAACATAAAGCATCTACTGAAAATCGTTGTAGAGGCAAAAGCAAATAAATGAAAATGGTCGGTATTAGGTGCCTGGAAATACGATATACTCGTTTAAAAGTTGAAAATATTATTCACTGAGCTAGATTCGTATTATATATGGTCTCAGACAGAACCAAGAAGCTGTAATTTGTTCATTGCGTCCGTTGGCAGCAGCCGCAGAGGTGGTAGTTATCTTGATTCGCAAGAGCCCACAAGGTTCGATTTGTTCCAATAGTGTATTATAATCATCATGAAGATTGAGATGGATGGCATCCTCCGAACGCAGGGTTCCAGACATCATCCACTAAGTTCCTTCCTTCTTCCTGGAAGAAGGAGGTTCGAGTTCTGGAGGCCTGTGTTCGGAGGATGGATGGATGGATACCTGTTTCAAAACTGAACTTAACTATAATTTGGCGTTGTATGAGGACAAGATTTATGTACGTAATTTTTTCTGCGCTTATTAAAAGGTGTAGGGGTGATGGCAAACGAGAGTTTCAAAGTCCGTTCCTTGATGAAAAGATGAATGACGCAATGTGTCCTAAAGCCCGGTATACACCAATGGGGCACGTTGGGACCTCCATAGACTTAACATTGCGTGGTACCTCATGGGACTTCTATCTTGGAATTTTGCCCCATCTGGCCCCATCCGAGTCCCATGAGGGCCCATGAAGTCCCACGTGGGACTCTGTGGGATTCGATGGGGCAAGATGGGGTGAAAATCCCACTGAGTCCCATCTTGCCCCATCGAGAATGAACGTTCATTTTTTCCATGGGGCATCATGGGATTTTCGATCAAATGGACGTGTTGTGTGAAGCCCAACATACACCAATGGGGCACGGTAGTATTTGATTGGACTCCATGGGGCTCAATGGGACTCCATGGGTACGATGGGGCAAAGTCATCAAGGTCATATGGGACTTCGTGGGACTCGATGGGGCAAGTTTGAATTCGATGGGGCAAGATGGGACTCGATGGGGAAAGTGGGATTTTGCCCCATTGGTATATACCAGGTTTAAGGTCCTAATATACCATTTGAAAGGTGACAGTGTCAGCTGCACGCTTAAAAGGAGATTCGTCACGGTCTTACGACAAGAGGTGACGACGAATGGTTAAAATCTAGGGGTCCGCGCATTATACCGAAACCCATTATACCGACGCGCATTATACCTAAACCCATTATACCGACGTGCATTGTACCGAAGGCGTTATACCGAATGCCATAATCACTGTTCCACAACTAGTTACTTTGACGGAACGTCAATGTAACAAAATATAAAAACCAACTATGAACAAGATTAGTCCATTATTCTCAAAATTAGACATAGTTGTGCAAAACTTTTTGAACAACCCTTGAACTTGTATTACCAATGTATGTTACTTTTTCAATGGGGATTTAGCCCGACCATTTTTAGAAAACTTAAAAATCTCTAGAATTTGAATAAAGGTAAATAAAAGTGCAAAAACTAAGTTGCTTTGATAGAAAATTACATACAGAATTCAAATAGAAGAAAATGTTAGTCTTTAGTGGTTAAAAATGCAGATCTCCTAAAATCTCATTAAAACGAGACCTTAACGAGATTTCAAAGCTATATGGAAAAGCCGCTATTATTAGATAGATGCCTTCACTAGGCTATTCTCTGTACTTGTGTCTGTGCCTCATTTTGAGTAGCGAGTGTAAATTCTTTTTGGAAACATGATTATGTTTTCCCTGTAATATGAATTGGAGATATTCTGACAAAATATGGATAGCCTAAAATATAAATTTTGTGTTTTTGAACATGCGCCCAATTGAAAAAAGCCTATGGAAAATCATCTCCAATTATCACCTAACTTACTATTGATAATTAGTTGAAAGTTAGGTGTAAAAATTCACATGCAAATGAGCTAATTATCAACTTAATTAACGCTTAATTTGCAACTTAATTAACGATTAACTACCATCAATATGCAAATGAGCTATTTACGTAAATTAGTTGAAAGTTAGTTGTAAGTTTGATGTAAGTTAATCTCTAATTATCACCTAACTTACTATTGATAATTAGTTGAAAGTTAGGTTTAAGTCAGATTTGTGACATCTCAAAAATGACTCGCTTCTTTTTTGCTTCCCTTCACTCGGAGATTTTTGCTTCATCTTGAACTATTTTGTGATGGAATATTCATCTTAATTAGGATCTTTCAGAACAGACAACATTGAACTTGAACTATTGAAATTTCACAGCAAGAGGAGGGAAAACCCCATGATTCAATTGATGACATAAGATTTCCTCCTTCGCACACCTCCTTTTGTCGAAAACGGACCCTCCATCTTGGTTTTTAAAGTTTTCAAATTGACCTAGATTTTAACCAATCAACGATCGACTCGCTAAACCAATCAGCGACGATGTCATCTCAATACAGATTTACATTATAAGCGTATGTCATCTTTGAACCCTGGGGTTTCTCCCCCTCTTTTTTAATTCTATTTTGCAAATTTTTAAGATTCATAAAAAGCATGTGAAAACATCATTATTGCCATCAACAACTAAAATCAGAACACAAACATTAGACTATAATGTTACATAATAAGGATGTAACAGATATAATGAAAAATATGTTTTGAAATGTCTTTGATCTAACAATCATTATTTAGAAGAGCACATTTGGATTACTTGTGAAATATAGGTAACCCATGTTAGTACATAAATTGCATTCTAGGATTAATATTATATGATCTGATTCAAAAAGATTTTTAAATTCATAAACATTTCAGACAGAAGTGTGAATAAGATTTAACATACATTGTATTCATGTTCTACATACCCTTATAATAATGTTGACCAAATTTCATGGTAGTATACGCACCATTCACATTGTAATTCTCAATTTTATGAGAGAAATATCTCTCACATGTTTTCTTTTTCCACCATCTTGAAATTAAATTTAGGGGGTTTGTATTTCTAAATCATGGGCCTAATTTACAACTAATTATCATTAAAATCATCCTATATGTTAACTATCAACCAATAATCTACTTCAGACCAAAAACGTTTTAATTTACCACTTACTATCACCCTCAAACATTTCATATCTTAATTATCAACTAAAAATCATAAATCAGCATTATTGTAAGTTAATTTACGTTGAACTTGCTACTGATAATTAGGCCATAATTATCATTGATTTAATTAACGCTTAACTTTAATTCCAATTGCCAGCAGAATTGTTGATAATTAGTTGTAAATTAGTTGGTAATAAGTTGGTAATTAGTTTTATTTTTCAATTGGGCGGAAATATCTTGAACACTTTGAAACTGAAGTACAGTTCCTTAATAGGTCGTTCTTGTTTTTGTTCTACACAACACTTGTGTTTAATAGCCACGCGCAATTATTAATAAGCGTAATCAGATTATTTCAAGCGTCGAAATAGCTTATTTTCCTCGACGTTTCTACACAAACCTATTCACTTACCGTTATAGTGCGTCAATTATAATTGTTTTCACTCATCGGCTTAGTGGCCCGCGATACCTTTTATTTCATTAATTTGAGACGCAATTGATATATTGGCAACAAATCAAATGTTCTAAATGATTCTTCTTCATTTTGGAATGTTTCTCCTACCCGATATTCAAAGATGTGTCTTAAATATTATACTTTACATTGATCACGATCCTTGTACTTTCTGTCTTTACGACTCCCGTTCACATTTGCAAGAGTTGTTGTTTACATTGCCTTGATCGTTGCTCGAACTTCCAACAAAATCAGATTAATCAATTAAGAAATGAAATATCATGTTTATCCAAGCAAATAATTGTACAACTTCATTATTTTTTAGCAGTTTTGACACCTAAGCAGGGTAGCCTAGTGGCGTAGACTGAGACTACTTTGCGGTTGAACGTCGTGGGATACGGAGGTCCCGCGTTCGAGCCCCAGGTACGGAGTTGTTGATCATTGTCACTACGGACACCCGGTCCGAAGGTCCAACCGTTTACCGGCCCTTGGCATGGGTTGGTTCTCTGGCCGCTCTTGCCGGAGACAGATTGTGAGACTGTGGTTGGTTCCTCCACTAACGTGCTTTAGTAAACTCCGGGAGTCATATAGTATGGTAGCGGGCCCCCACCAAGGGCAGTAGTGGAACGACGCGAATCGGTCCCAGTATGGTTGCCTTGCAACTGAAGAGACTCGAGGAAATCATGCCATTCGCAGTGACCCAGAAAAGACTTTTGCTTCTTAATTTGACGTTTTAATTTACATATTTTACATAATTTACATATTTATTTACATATTTTATTCATATTACTTTCAAGGCAGTTGTGATTTTTATTGGTCAAATGAATGAACGAGACATATAGATACTATTAAATACATCTAGATAGTATCAAAACATAATTCGATTTGTCGGACATATATAAAATAACACTTGAAAACACAACACACATAGCTGCAATATCGTAGCATTTGGCACAGTCGGTTCCCATGCTCTGTCATTTTGTGTGGTCATCATAAGATAAGGAGGTGCGGTTGATCGGACCATGGGCTTCCAACAGAGTCAAGAAATTGGCGTGGATACTTAGAGAAATGAGGAAGCAACAAAAGGAAACACCGGAAATAATCCAGAAATGTCCATTGTTTTCGTTAGTTATGGCAAGGCCCCGGAGGAAAAACAGCATTCGCGGGTAGCTTAATTTTTGTATAAATTAGAGCCATGACTTAAACTCAACCAAGAACGGTGGAGCAATGTCACTATGGGTCCCAATTGAGAATCAATTCAAATCAAAATCAAATTGAGAATCAGATGGCCTGCTAAGTTTAGTATTGATTTGCCCCTAAATAGATATTAATTATATTATAAAGGGGCGCTGAATATTGGACTTAGTTAATGAGCACCATTTTAAACTGCCAATTAAACATGTATTCAATGTTTCAAAATAATGAAACTGAAATATTGGGCAAAATAATTGATATTTCGTTTGTGGAATGAAAACTGATGATAGAGATAATATCAGTAGCCAAAAACTATATAAGCAATTTAAACATGAAAATGATGCCAATTTAGAAGTATTATATGAAAAGAAATGTTTAATTGTGAAATGGTTAGAAAATGAAATAACTTCAGAATTAATGGGATCATTGAGGCACACAAAAATCACACTTGGATTTGGAAAGATTTAAAGTAAAACAAATGAATGAGTTTCTTACTATCTCCATGACAACATATCTTGCTTTCTCTCCATGACAACAATGTTTGCCCCATCAGCACAAGATCGAAAATACAGTAATTATCGAGTTCAATAAGAAATGTGAAACTTTATATTTAATGGCACAATTATTTATTTCTACCAATGAAACAAAACAGTATAAACAAATGTTTACTTCATTGAATACAGAATTTACCACAGTTGAATATATTTTATGAAGTACAGGGTTTACCATAATCAAACATAAATAACAGAATTATGACTTTATCCTCTATGAAATACAGAAATTGATGGTTAACTGGAATTCAGTTTGTTGAGACGACCCCTCAATCGGAAACGCCTAGCATCAGTTAAAAAAATTCTGGCCGCAACTGAGATGTAAAGATGTTCAAAGATTTTAAATTAAGCTTTACCTGAAAATATGCTTTTGCACGATAAACTTTTAATTGAATATGAATATATACAACAGATTAACATCCAGTCTCATATTAAAAAGTTTAAAGTCAAAATATTGTGGAAGTAAATAAAAATGAGTTTTTGATTTTCAAGACTTGTCTGTTCAATGAAAAAATCATGTATAATTTGGACCAAGGTGTATGATAAAGTAATATATAAACTATCTATTTTATATGCTGGTACAGTAGAATTTCTCTTGGCTTTTCAACATAGCACCATATTTGACTTTTCAGGCTCCACTTTATTATTCCATGCCTATATAATGTTACTGTGCACTGTCATACATACATGTATATATGATCTTGATTGGACATCAGGGTGCAGAGAAATCATAATTTTACTGAGTGGCTTCACGAAAAAATAAACAGGGTTATATGCCACCTTAAGGAAGGAACTTTGAAGCTGCTTTTGTTCAGCTGTCTGATTAAAGCGTGACTTATCATATTGTGTTATCCAAAGTGGCGTGTAAGTCAGAACATTTTTGCTTTTTCATGATATTATCACATTAAAGGGGCAACAAGGACTGTAGAGAGAAAATTCGAAACTTTTTATTTTTTCTGAGCTACCAGGTCAATATTTGGCTTAACATCTTCATTGACACACCTATTTTCTTAAAATGTATGGATAAACTATGAATTTCAGCATTAAGAAGTGTGAATTTTGAAAAGCTTTTATAAAGGGAGTCCCACTTATAGATTTTTAAGGTCCACCACGTTTCAAGAGGAATATCAGCTGAAATGATGTTCATCCAGGTTTTTTTTTTTGAAGATAATAAAAATATATGTTAGTCTCATGATGAAATATCCAAACTCCAATATATTTTGACACTGGTATAAGTGGAACTCCCTTTAAAGAAGCTTTGAACTGAATTTACACTTCTTAAAGGTGCAACAATTAGTGCAGAGGGACCATTCAACGATCATGGACCAGTCAGAATATATTCAAGTTTGGATATTTCATCAACATACATTGTATATTTTTATTTTCTCCAAAGAAACCCCCTGGATGAATATTATTTCAGCTAATAGTCCTCTTGAAACGTGATGGATTTTAAAAATCTATGAGTGGGACATCCTTTATAGAAGCTTTGAACTGAATTTACACTTCTTAATGCTGAAATTTATGGTTTATCCATACATTTTAAGAAAATAGGCATGCAAAAGAAGATGTTAATCCAAATATTCCCCTGGTAGCTCAGAAAAAGTAAACAATTTTGAATTTTCTATCTCGTAAGCTTACAGACCTTGTTGCCCCTTTTTTAATGCTGAAATTGAGAGTTTATCCATTCATTGATTTTAAGAAAATATGTATGTCAAAGAAGATGTTCCAAATATTGACCCGATAGCTCAGAAAAAATCAAAAAAAAATCGAATTTTCTCTCTAAAGTCCTTGTTGCCCCTTTAAATACATAACATAGTAGCCTAATAAAAAGCTGGAAATAAAATCAAATAATATTTTAATATACCTAGTATTGATCACCGGACGTAACTAATTTTATTTTATTTCATCATATCAGTATCATCATCAGAATATTAAATGGAAGATTGGGTAAGGGAACATGGGGCAAAGCGGCCCAAAAAATTTAATTTTAAGTTGTTCTGTACGGGGTATTTTCGTATCTGTCAATCATCGCGCACTTTGATGTTCCACTTTATTAATGGTTTGTGGTTTACATTTTTCGAGTGTTTTATACTTACCTAGGACTATCTTCTGTGATTTTTCAATGGTCAAAAATATTGTCGAGAGTGGGGCAAAACGGCCCATGGGTGGGGCAAAACGGCCCACCCTCTGTTACATGGGTTTTGAAACCAAAATTAATCAATTACAAGACTCGTCCACAAACATCTTATCTCAGACGTTCAAACCTTTGACAGATAAAGTATTCTTAACCCCTACCATAATTCTAGTCATTCGATATGTGTCGGAAGGAAATTAGGCACAAGCCAGATGTTAAAATTGTTACATTTGAAAACCAATTGTTCTTGCACAATAAGATTTTTGTATGTTATAACATGTGTGGGCCGTTTTGCCCCAAAGACATGTGAATTTTCAAATAGACGTCATTTTAATTTGCCTAATATTTGAGGCTCGAAATTTTTACAAATAAAGAATAAATGTGCACTCTCTATTTAAAATGTTAAATCAAAACGATATTCTATTGTTGCCGGATTTTTTAGAGATTCTCGTGAGAGGGGTAATTTCCAAAAAAGAGGGTGAAAAGTAGAATTACCTCTTACGTAAAGCGAGACGCTGCTTGGTTAAAAATGGACGCTCGAGAAGGTGGCAGATATTTCAAAATTCGATTTTGTGACTTTTGAAGAACCATCTTTTTATAGTTCAAAAGATATTTCGATGGGCCACTTTGCCCCAGAGGGCCGTTTTGCCCCATGTTCCCCTACGAATGAATATCGTCCTCTAAAAGATTGCATTAAAATTGCCGAACTGGGTACTTGTAACAAGTGATGCGTTCGTTATTTTACTGCAATATTGCTACAACAAAAATTAAAAAAATATGTCTTTTTTAGAAAACTTAAAAACCTCCCAGAAGACTTGTATTGTTCAAGATGGTACGTATAGATATACCATTTATTTCTTGAATATGCATAGATGGACAAAATGGTTTGAGTATGAGGACGTAGCGTTATCTTTTGTCGTCTAAATATACTTTAAAATGACGCTGATAAATTTACTGTATTATCGCCCACTACGATTTGTGATAATCTACCAGCGTTTATTATGTCACCTCCACTAGTGTTGACTTATTGTTATAGTCCCCCAACTGTTTTGTGGAGGGTGTTCGGCGTTCGATCGTCGGAGTCTGTAACAAATGGCAGGTGGCCATGTATCATGACTTTGTTCAGTGTTGGTAGTTTAAAATACATACAGTTGTATGCTAAACTTCGGAGTTGGGGCAATCTGCGCGAGATACGGTTTTCACTTGGTTCGGTTTTTCATTAAAGGAAGTACTTCATTCCCATGATTCAAAGTGCTTTTCTGCCATCGGTTCGGTTTAAGTTTGTACAACACACGTCTATAAATCCGGGGCAGGTTGATATTATGTCATTACAGTGGGGGGCATAAAGAATTACAAAACCTATGGAAATTACATGTTGGCGCATATGTAATAAATTCTTACCTCAGTGTATTCAGTGCTCTATTTTCTCCGTCATAGTAAGTCCAGATATAGTGGAATTTGTGTCCATAATGACAAATAAGAACTTAAAAATTTGATGTGGAATTCACATGTTAATGCCGACTCTTCAAATGTTGAGGTGATTTTGGAGCCAGATTACGCCGCAATGTGGGTTGGCTCCCAGAATGCAACATAACACGTGTCAGCTTTCAAAATGCCATTCCGCCGTTTTGAAATACGTCACGAATAAATAAGGCTACTTGATGTTGCATTCTGGGAGCCAATCCTCCTTGGATCACAAACATGGCGATTCATGAAAACATTAGTCCGATTTTGTAGGGATTTATCCATCATTTGCAGGTATGAGGCTTTGGATTCATTTATTGTGCTACTTAAAGTGGATGGGAATTATTTTTCTACCACTTGGGAGAGTTTGAGACATGAAACTTAGAATTTAGCTCATTGTGACAACTTTTGAGGGTTGAGATTTATTTTTGTCCCCCACTTTACATTTGTTTTGGGTGTATACTTTTTGTTTTGACACTAAACAAAAATATTCCCACACTATATGGTGCATCATGGGTAGGGACTGATGTGAAATAATGAATGTAAGTGACATCTATCTCAAATTAAATGTTCTTATAAGTTATTAATTGCGCATGTGTTATAATAATTTGAACAAATTGAATTGCTGGATTTAATGCGCATGCGCTAAAAACTGACCCAAAAAATGGAATCTCGCGCAGATTGCCTCCAGTGAAAATTCTGTCTTTTATATTACATATAAATCTATGCACATGGCAAGGTTGGCCTCTATTTTCCTACTTCGTGATTGAAATCCACAAATCGTTTGAAGTCTGTTAAGACTACTAAAAAGTGGTTGAATTTTGAAAACAAGGTGGTAATATTGTTATTGGCTAGAAATACAAGACATAAATTACAACTAGACAACAGCAACGCCAAAGCGTAGCAAATCCCATTGAACAGCAATGGCTGGCATTTTTACAAACTAAATGTATAGCAAATATCATGAAATAACATACATAAAAAAGGCCACCATTTTCAAAATGATTGCTCAGTAGCCAAATTATCGTCAGAAAAAGTAATATGCTTTTAAGTAAGCACTTATAAAATGTTCAAAAAATCGCACGCACGTACATGTAATCGTCGGCCATCTTTTAAATGGCCGCCTACTACCAAAAATGTCATATGACAGTGTACCATGCTTATGAGTATTCACATCAAATATGAACAAAATCGCTCTTTTATTTTTTGAGTTATAGTAAAAAAATGTAAATTAACACACATTAAAATGGTGGCCATTTTTCAAAATGGCCAGCTACTCTCAAAAGTGTTATTAGACAATGTGTCATGCTTATAGTAGTCACATATCAAATATGAACATTTTTCAAGATGGCTGCCATGTATTTCTTGAATATCTACTTTTCTAGCTTGATAGATCTTAAATTACTTTTTTACATTTAAAACATATTGCTATTACAGTTTTATAAACAGTACCTAAACTACTGTAGAATCTGCACTAAAATGGCTGCCATTTTTTAACGAGCGGCCATTTTAAAAATTGGCTTTCAAGCAGAACTTGTACTTCCATAGGGCACATGTGTCCAAAATATTGACAAAATCGGGTGAACAGTATTTGAGTTATCGCCTGGACAGACGGACGTATGAACGGACATATGTACGGACAGAGGTGTTCCCTATATCCCTCCGAACTTCGTTCGATGGCATAATAATAGATTAGTAATGAGCAGTAACATGAGAATCAGTACAAAGTTAAAGCGCTAGATACAATACAATACACCACATGAGACCAGCAGGCAGCATTAAAGGGACACAAAGATTTTGTCATATAAATGCCTCATCTCATTTTGTCATTGTAGGGCGCAGAAAGATCCATTTCATCTTCAAGGACAAGACCGAATTAGCCGAGGAGTATGATTTAAAGACTGATGTTCTCTTAGGTCAGTTACAATCTTCATATCTCAAATTAAAACTTATTAGAAAATCGGGCCTGCAGGTGGGGGGGGGTTGTTGAGCAAACATTTTTTAAGTGGTTTTGGGCCCTGAATTGGCTATGGGCCTGATAATATGAAAACTATTTGTTATTGCAAAAGACTTTCTTTTGTTTCAAGCAAAATCTCTTCTCTGTAAATACTCCCATAAATGAAAGGTCATGGCTCCAAAATGAGGTAGAAAGATGAAGTCTTTCAAGAACCTTTAAATCATCAAACTGTTGCATTGCATTGGAGTATTTCTAAACAAAGAGTAATTCATCAAACCGTTCAAGCCTTAAGGTACTATACCACATGATGAAAATTTTGTATAATTTTCATGACTATCATGGGCAATAATTAATGAAAAAGTTTATATTTTTCAAATTTTTTTGACTGAGAATTGAGGTTGCTCACTGGAAGATATGGATTTTTTCATGAGGGATGATATGATATCCAACTGGAGAACCAATGATATGGATATTTGGATTTTCCGTCCTAAAATCTTCACTTTCAAGACTTGTCTACAGGTTTCCAGCCAAACCATTTGAGGGATTCATCTGAAATTTTCAGGGATGTTTTACATATCAACGTCAAGAACTGATTAGTCTTTAGGCATTCTGGGTAAATCTTAAGGTGGCCATTTTGGATTTTCCGTCCTAAAATCTTCACTTTCAAGACTTGTCTACAGGTTTCCAGCCAAACGATTTGAGTGATTCATCTGAAATTTTCACGGATGTTTCTATATATCAACGTCAAGAACTGATTAGTTTTTGGGCATTCTGGGTAAATTTTAAGGTGGCCATTTTGGATTTTCCGTCCTAAAATCTTCACTTTCAAGACTTGTCTACAGGTTTTCAGCCAAACCATTTGAGCGATTCATCTGAAATTTTCAGGGATGTTTCTACATATCAACGTCAAGAACTGATTAGTTTTTGGGCATTCTGGGTAAATTTTAAGGTGGCCATTTTGGATTTTCCGTCCTAAAATCTTTACTTTCAAGACTTGTCTACAGGTTTCCAGCCAAACCTTTTGAGGGATTCATCTGAAATTTTCAGGGATGTTTCTACATATCAACGTCAAGAACTGATTAGTTTTTTCGGGCATTCTGGTTAAATTTTAAGGTGGCCATTTTGGATTTTCTGTCCTAAAATCTTCACTTTCAAGACTTGTCTACAGATTTTCAGCCAAACCATTTGAGGGATTCATCTGAAATTTTCAGGGATGTTTCTACATATCAACGTCAAGAACTGATTGGTTTTTGGGCATTCTGGGTAAATTTTAAGGTGGCAATTTTGGATTTTCTGTCCTAAAATCTTCACTTTCAAGACTTGGCTACAGGTTTCCAGCCAAACCGTTCAAATTTTTACATATGTTACACATTTATAAGTTCTAGAGCTGATTAACTTTTCTGCGGCCATCTTGCTTTCTTGGTCAACAAGACCACAATGCTGTGTTTTAGGTACGATATTGTTCACGTCTGTACCTTGTTAGTCTTGCATCAAATCTCTCTCCCTCCCACCACTATCTATTTCATCCGTTGGGAAAAACACGAGGGTTTTATTCGAGACTATCTTTGATTTATTTCAGTGAGGAAATGGAAAAAAAGCGGGCGGCTAGGAGGTGAAGGTAAATGGCAATTTGAGGTAGGAGAGGATCTTAGCCCAGGGAGCAGTCTTACTGAAGGCCTAATGGAAAGTTCAACCAATGTTAGTATGAATAATATACCACTAATTCAAGGGCCTATGGAGAGGTCAACCAACGTTAGTGCACAACTAACCCTTGCAAACAAAAAAGTCATTATCATTACGTCAATCATGTACACAATCATTTACTTCGACAAAATATATACATGTACAATGTACATATATTTTTCATTTGGTTCTTTCTTTAATCTTAAATTTTAAATTTAATTTCTAGTTTCTTGAACTTGATCTTGAGTGTCATTCTTCTTGTTATTGTTAATAACAGAATCACAATTCAGTCTTGCATACAAATCTTCAAACCTGTCTATTTTGTAGTATTTGTATAAAACTTCAAACTTTGTAAATTTTATGTTTTCTGAATTTCAGCCAGTGTTTGTTCGAAAAGATGGAAAGGATGTCTTTCAATGGAGGATCCGAAATTTGCCATACCCACTAGAGACATACAATGTCACTGTAGATAATGAACAGAGAACAGCAATCATTAGAACCACCAACAAAAAGTAAGACTTGGAAAAAACCTCTTATTATTAACATAGTAAAGACACAGACTTACTCTGGTTTGGTAACTTTTATTTGTGTTGTACATGTCTACTTCTTATGCGTTTGCCATCAAATTGGCATTTCCCTGTCCCAAAATTGGCATTTCCCCCATCCCAAAATTGGCATTTCCTTGTTCCAAAATTGGCATTTCCTGTCCCACAATTAGCATTTCCTTGTTCCGAAATTGGCATTTTGCTGTCCCAAAATTGGTATTACACAGCAAACATTTCTCAATGTTGATTCAACGGAAAATCTACATTGATTCAACATTGATTTTCACAAGCATTCTTATCAGTTTGCTATCAAATTGGCATTTCCCTGTCCCAAAATTGGCATTTCCCCATCCCAAAATTGCCATTTCCCTGTCCCAAAATTTGCATTACCCATCCCCAAATTGCCATTTCCTCATCCCAAAACTGCCATTTCCCTCGTGTCTACTGACAATGATTCTCATCCAAAAAACATGTTAAAACTTGCAGGTCTTGAAATGTTGCAATGTGGAACTGTCATTGTCTTTTTGATATTGTACATACACTAATTGTTTAATCATTTTCAGATATTACAAGAAATTTACCATTGATGACCTGGATAGACACAATCTTCCATTGGAGCAAGAAAGAATTGTTCTTTCCCATTCAAATAATACACTCATTATAAAGGTATGCTTACATTCAATAATGCAACTGTCATAATGGAATAGAAAACACTGTATCAGGGTTTCAACCAAACAGGCCAGTGCTTGTAGATGGAAACATTAGATCTGGCTGCATATTTATGAATCACCTCTAAGATCCATCTGTGATATCTCAAAGAATAACTTGTAACAGATTTCTACCTACAAAATCTGGCCATTTTTGCGCTATACTAGTAAGCACCTTTGAAAGTTAGAGTGGTCTCTTGCAGGTTTTTGCTGAACTACCTTAATCTATATGTTTATTACTTATTTTGGGAATTTTACAATATTTTGTTTAATTTCCTTGTTAAAATTGTATTTTTCAAAAATCTTGCCTGTTGGTGCTGGTTTTCAGTACTTCTTCCTACTATGATTATCAGAAATTAAATTGAAAACTATGACTGTTATTTTGTACTTTCAGTATAAAAAACCAACTGAAATACTCCAACATGAAAAATGTATGCAAGATGAGTTTAAGAAGATGAAGGATGGTGATGTTGGTTGTAATCCCAGTTGATAGGTGGCACTTCAGCATTGGAAGACATGTGATCAATGGAGGACGGTATTTCCCAGAGTACATCAGTGACATTGATGGAATTGTTCTGTGATATACGTTCAAATGACTTGCACATTCTATGCTTGTGACAATATTATTAATTAAAAAGGTATTATTTGTGTGTCAAAATGACATGTTGAGGACATTTTAGATGAGTTTATAAATGTAATCCCAGTTGATAGGTGGCGCTTCAGCATTGGAAGATGTGTTATATATCTTTTTTTATATATCTTTTATTGACTCTCTGATGTCATTACAATGACATATTAGTCACTAAAAAACTAAAAACTACAATCTACAAAATTGACCTAAGACTAAACTAACTACTGGATACAAAAATAAAGTTGTTGTCAAATACAATTCTAATTACATCATCAAATGTAAAATACAAAAATACAAGATAATTGTAAAGCACAGATACGACTTGACAGAAATTTAAATATCAGTGTAATGTATCGTTGACACATTAATCCAATTTTTTGAGTGAATGATAGATAAACTTTGCTAAATGTAAAATTACATAAGAATTTTTGTGAGACATCAGTTTTTTAAAAATAATATCAGGACTGCCTACAAAATTAAACTGTGTAAGGGTGTCAAACAAAAGTTTTCTTTCTGTAGTGTATTTCTTACAAATCATGATGAAGTGTTGTTCATCTTCTAAAATACCACAAATATTACATAAACGTTCATCTACAGGTTTTGGCTTTGGCTTCAAATGACGACCAAGTTCTATATGTAACTTGTGGGAACTAAGCCTAAATCTACAAAGTTTTATAATTCTGATACAGTGTTTTTGTTATTGTCTTGATAAAAATATTGTCATCATCAATCTTTTGAGTATCCCAATAAGATAATAATAAATCACACTTTTTTAATATATCAATGACTTTTTTTGACCAAGTGCCTTTAAAACCAAAGTGACTCATTTCACGATCATACATATATGTTTTATGAAGAATGTTTCCCGGTGGTAGATGAAGTAAACGGAGCCAATATTTAATTAATTTGATTTCAAAACGTATTTTTAACAGGTAGCGTCCCAATTCTCCATAAACTGCTGGTGCTGCAGTTGATTTTTTAACACCCAAAAGACATTTAAGAAAAGATAGGTGCATTGTCTCTATTGTCTTCAGATGTTTTTCATTGATCCACACCTCTGAAGCATAAGTTAAAATAGGTTCAACTAAGGAATCAAAAAGGTGCAATGCAACATTAACTGGAATGTCATTAAATTTTTTATATTGCTGTTTAACTTTAAACAAAGCTTTTCTTGCTTGCTCTTTCAAGTAAAATACATGCTGGTCAAAATTCTTTGTTTTACTGAATATACATCCAAGATATTTGTACTGCTCAACATTTTCTATAGCACTATCATTGAATGTGAAAACCGCATCAACTTTTGAGTTAAAAACAATTGATTTTGTCTTCATTGTGTTAACTATGAGATGATATCTCTTACAAAAATCAAAAGGCAATTGAGCAAAGTTTGGGCACCATCCTTACTGTTTGACATCAAGATAAGATCATCAGCCCAAAGTAAATGGTTTAACATATTTCCATTAAATTGAATGCCATTTTCTTTTGGTAAATTATCTTTTAAGTCATCAAGGAAATGGTTGAATAAATAGGTACTAAGTACAGAGCCTTGCATTACTCCAACAGTTATCAAGGGAGGACATCAAATCCAGAATTCATCAGTGGCAGGATGATATTGTTATTATGTTTATGTTTGAGATAATAGCCTAGATCCTAGTTTATTTATAAATAACATTGAATTTAAGTGTGTCAAGTTGGCATTTTAAGACAAAACACAAGGCTATAACTGGTGATTGATTATTTAAAGGACTTCTCATTGTTCAACTGAGACAGATATGATCTCATAAACAACACTACAAGTTTTATGAAAAGTAATAAAACAATTAAATACACATATTTTCTTTATTATTATACAAAATATATTGTTTTATAGCTTTTTACAACCACAATTTACAGTTAGTAATAAACACTTGTTTGTAAGATCCTCAAATTTCATTGATTCTCATCATTTGAGAAATACTCCAAAATGTTTATGGCAACACTTTAACATTTCAATCGTGATATTAAAATTGCCTATAAATCTTGAATATGGCCTGGAGCCAAATGAAGTAATACTAAGAAAACAATGTAACTAGTTCATAATTTAAGGCCATTTTAATTTGAATTGAATTTTTCGTAGAATAACTACTATTTATCCTGTACTATTTAGTAATAATAGTACAAAAATAGATCTGGTCATTTGAGAAGTTTCATTGTGGTGACGTAACTTGAGAAGTTTCACTATGGTGACGTCACTTGAGAAGTTTCACTATGGTGACGTCACTTGAGAAGTTTCACCGTGGTGACGTCACTTGAGAAGTTTCACTTTGGTGACGTCACTTGCAAGACTCTCATGTTTTACGGCAGACTTCCATTTTAAAAATCTCCAGAATATTTTGAAGAACAATGCATCCATTAAAACACGATATGAACAACTCAGTTATTGAAGATTCCTTTTATTTTGGTTTAGTTTCCTGATCACTGACATGTCTTATATAGACATTGTCATCAGGTGGATTGTCAATCTCATCTTGCTCATACATGTATGATGATGCTATAGCCAATGTAGACCCATCCTGACTGAATGCAAGTGAAGCTATGCTTGTCGGGTACCTGGAAAATAAAAACAATGGAGTGAATATTTTTCACTTTAGAAGATGCTGAAATGATGATTATGATGCAAAATGTCAATACCTGCCATTTGTTACAGACACCAAATGACAATCACCAATCACCAACTGCCCAACACCATCCACAAAAAATTGGAGACTTTTACAATATGTCACCACTTTTGGTTTGGTGGTGACATGATTCATTTGTACTCAGCTGAAGATTTCTTTGTACTGTACCTAGATAAAAATTCATTTGCACCTAGTAAAAAAATTATTCTGCTCCTCAATGAAAATTCAATTGCATTCAGTCAAAAATCTGATATGAAGTGAAACTGACCAATTTTAGACATTTCTTCATATAATCTAGATATTAGTATCTAATATTACGTAACCACTTCTGAGTAGTGACTTAAAAACAACATATTGGACAAATGGAATGTGTAGCAAGTAAAAAAAACACATATATTTTTAATGATAGTACATACCTATGAAATTGGCATAAACGTTTCTTATGAAATCCATCCCAGATATTTACAAAGCCATCAGAACCTCCCGTTGCGAATGTATTATGTGTATTATGGAACGCTATGGCATTAACAGGGAAGATTTTCTCCACACCATCTTCTTTCACGCGGTGACATTTGAAAGCATATTTTTTCTTCTGAACTTCTGGACTTGGGTCTAGGTATTCCACTGCCACTCTCCCTAAAATAACAAAAACAATGTATAAGTGTGGTCAATGGGATTAAGCTCTAAAATATCACCTTTGAAAATTAAAATAGGAATTACAGGATTTTATTCAAGTAATCAAGAATTGTGAGATATAACAGTAGATATAACAGTCAAATCCTCATGACACCACAGAACATATAGTGCATTACTTCTGGGACAACCCTCGTATATTTCAGTCCTTCATCATTACCATTGAGGCACATTAACACAGTTTTCACAGATTTTTTCAGGTGAGTGCAGACAGAAATAGGTCAAAATATGCCAATTTTTCATGTTTTTTCTCATTTTCAAGTGGGTGCAAATGGATTTGCAGGTGGGTGCAAGCCTGTTTTTAACACGGACTTTTCTTAATTATATGAATATTTCAATTATCAGGGCCAATAATGCATTCCAACAACCATTGTACATTTAACCTAAAAGATGTTTACCTTCTATTGAACTGAGAACAAAGCCAGCCTTATTTGGAAATGTTCTGATACATCTGGTTTGGTACTTGAGACTCGACTCCCTCCGTTGTTGCACGTATCCCATGTTCCTCAGGTCCCACACTAACACCCTGCGTCCTGCTGTGCCAACTACGAGACGATCACCAGTGACAGCCAATGTGTAAACCTATAAATGGATACAGCAATGGGTTATTATATGAAACATGAAACTCAAACTCTCCACATTATTAACAAATAATTCGATCTTGAACTATGAATTCAAATGAACTTGGGATAAATGTTATCAATCTCAATCAACCTATAGATGGCAGACTGAAATTTGGAAAACTTTCAATCCAAATGGCAATGCTCAATCTTATTCTCCTAAATCTTGGGGATTTCCCCTACACAAGCAAATACAAAAATTCTTGAAAGATGATTTGAAATTGATCCTGATTAACTTTATTCAAGGACAAATTCTAGGATTGTTCAAATTCATGACCCCCTCAAGATCTGTCTTACTTTATCTGGCTGTGAGTAGGAGCCAGTGCAGGTAGGTGCCCGTGGGTCCCACAACTTCACTGTAAAGTCCCAGGAACCAGTTATAACCACATTAGTGTCTGGAGCATATTCTACACATCGCACCGCTCCATCATGGGAACCAACATGTGTTTCTGCAAGATAGTAAAGGGAAATCAGATATGGGTATAGAGAGGAACTATTTAATTTGTTGGATAATCTTTGACATTTGAAGATGGAGAATAACATATTTGTTGACTGATATTTTTTATATCAAAGTCATGTGAAGTACTTCAGTTTGGAATTTTGGAATCAAAAATTTACAAGATGCAAGAGAAAAAATTCTGAGAACAAAATGGATAAATGATATCAGTGTTAGCCCTATTATCTTTTCAAATGCACTGTTTACAACACAGATATTCGACGAATAATGAAACGTACAAATTACGACCTTGTGACAAAGCTTTATTTTTAGCTTGCTAACTTTCTGCATTTCAAGATCGCACTACCAGCTGGTCTTACTCATTTCATCGGAACATTTTCTAATTCGAGTAGACACCTAGTGAACTCAATGCAGTAACTCAAAGAGGGTTGTCTGCAAGTCAATGTGTGACTTGACGAGTAATTATTCCACCACTAAGAAATTCTACATATAATTCAATTTCTAAGTCAAACAGTTCCAAACTATAAGTTATTACCTGCTGAGGTGTTGAAATCATACATCTTCAATGAATTGTCCAGTCCTCCACTATATGCATGAACTGTGTCCTGTAAAAATCACTTATCATTAATAACACAATATTACAATTTAATATGTTATCTTACCATAAAAATGACTTTCTAATGTGCATCATACTTAATTCACCACATGCCTTTAGCTACTTATTTTTTGGAAACTAGGCATTACTAAACTACCAAAACCTACTGTGATGTAACTTGTTAAATATAACGAAAGTTCAGCTTACCTGGAAGCAACAATCCAATACTGGCTCAGAATGACCATACTTAATTCGAAGGCTGTTAGAGACGACATCATACAGTCTCACATAACAATCCCAAGAAGAGACCAAGAGGAACTGGGATGAATTTGGTCCAAATTTCACAGCTGAAATGCCATCAGTTGGCGAATTGTTCAACTTAAATTCATTGAGTGTCTCTGACATACTTGATGGTACTCTGAAATGAAAAGAACACAAAGTCAATGAACATTTCTGAGAATCATTAGATATGGCACATGCACTTCACAAATTTCCTATACTTATTTTCCATCACACATGTGTTCTACTGTAACACTAAGTCAAATATATTTGGAGGATACTGAATCCTATCCATAGTGTGGTCCATAAGGATGGAGTGGGTTCTGCTAAAATACACCTGAATAACAGAGTTTAAGGTAGAATGAAGAGATGAATAATCATAAGAGCAACCCAGATAGATAGATCGAGATCCCACATCAAGTAGTTTGCTGTTGCATTCTACCTGCAGGCTGCCTTATGGTAAGGGAGACCTCTAAAATTTGCATTAAGGTGCTGTGGTACTTAACAGGAAATGACAAAACCATACTGGATTTCATACATTTTTTGAACCAAGATAACAGAGTTCTGTTTTGACCTCCAGTCAGTTTAATTATAGTTCCACTTGTCATTTACATGACCAGGATCACAATTTACATGGTCACAATGACCCTGAACACAATGAAATAACTTTTTCAGACCTCTGAAAATGTGACTGAAAAATAGATAAAGTAGGCGCTAATGGCCTAGTCACATAGCCCGGCCGATGTCCGGCGTCGGTAGAGCTCGGTGGATTTTTTTTGTGCCACCGAGCTCTCCTCATCGGAAGCAGAGCTCGGTGACGTGAACGGACTCCGTCCGGACATCTTCAGGTACTATACTTTCCAAGGCTCTGTCCCACATCGGCCGGAGCTCGGTCGGAGCTCGGCCGGTGTCCGTTAAAAAAACCTCGTCCTCTGGTTGTCTCAGATGCACGGGACACCGACGGATACTCGGCCGTACACCGGCCGACGTGTGTTCTGATGTGGTTACGATGGGGCGTGATGAGGGAGCTCGGTGAGAGCCCGGTGACATTTAACTCCGAAGTTAAAATTTCACCGAGCTGCCACCGATGCGGTTTTAAGCAACAAACGCCACGGATGTCCGGCCGGTGTTCGGCCGAGTTCGGTGAAAATTGCATCGCTGGCTCATCGGAACCTCATCGGCCGGGCTATGTGACTAGGCCATTAGGAAAGGTCACCAAACAGAATCGTTTGAATTTTTCATCCATCAAAAACCTGGATTACCCCCATAAATGTTGGGCTGGTTTTAATTCTTTTAAAACATATATTTAACTTATACGATACCACATACCATATACGATAAAAGTTGGCCTCTCTTATGCAATATATAGAGGTTATTTAATGGGAGGGATGGAATATGGATTTTATTCCGAGGGAAAATATGATATTGACCAAGGAAAATATCATATTGACCGAGGGCGATAGCCCGAGTGTCAATATGATATTTTCTGAGGCCAATATCATATTTTCTCAAGGAATAAATCCATATTCCATCACAACCATCAATAACCTATTTATTTCATAATATTTTTTTTTCAATTTTTGTATGTCATCATCCAATGATGTCTAGATGTATTTGTCACAGTAATAGACCTTTGTCACAGTAATAGACGTAAACTAGATGATAATAATTTCAATTTTCCAAACGATTTTTTTATTTCCTGTAGAGATGTGCTAGACGAAAAGCGTAAAACTCAAGAGAAATTACCGGGAATATTTCTGATACGGGATCTGATACAGGATTTTTGCTGATACGGGATCCAATACGGGATCTGATACGGGATTTTGGCTGATACGGGATCTGATACGGGATTTTTCAAATAACACTTTTATTCCCTGTTATTTTCCCAGGGAAAACATGTTATTATGGAATAAAAATACATGTTCACTCATTACGATATAGGATATCCCTATACACCCCCCCTCCATGAAAGCGAAAGAGCATTTACAACCGAACACGAAAAGAAAATATAAATGTGACGCCTACTGCTAGCTAAGAACATGTAAGATGTAACTTAAAAAATATAGAGGATAAAGTTATATAAAACATTAAAGACTTGAAATTAAGTGGAAATATGCGACAAATGTACATTATGAAGTCAAGTTATTTCAGACGGGGGCCCTCGGATTTCGAAACGGGATTTTTCTCACCGACGGTATTATAGTGAGCATATTCACATATCTGCGACCATTCATCCTGTAAGTTGCTACTTTTTATTTTATCTTCGATCCTTTTAAATCAGATAAAACACACTAACGAGCGATAATCTCTGCACAGTAAACGTTACCTTATATTTATTCGTCCCGATTTACATACATGTTCCCGGGCCTAGGGGATCGATCATTCTGAACAGCACGTTAATGCGCCAGCGCGTTTTCATTATAACCTTACAACATGAGGACAAACCCCAAGCGAGATGTAGACCACCTTTAAAAATGCACTAAATGAAGTCATAGAGAAAAATGTACCAAAACGTAACATCAGGAGGGATAGGCACCGCAAGACCTGGATGAACAGTAAAGCCATGAGACAACAGAGGAGGAAATATAAATATTGGCAGAGATATCTAGAATCCAAAGATGGCGAGGATTATATTAAATATAAGCAAGAAAGCAACAAATCCAAAACTCTATGTCGTGAGCTTAGAAAGAAATTCAAATTGGACTTAGCAAAAAACATTAAAACTAACCAGAAGCCATTTTGGGCCTTTGTAAATAGTACCAGTAAGATTAAGTCAAAAGTTGGCCCCATTGATACCCAGGACGGAAACACAACAGACAACGACAGCGACAACAAACATTTTAAATGGCTATTTTGCAAGTGTATTTACTGATGAAATGATAAACAATCTCCCAGAGTTCCCAGATTGAACCCAAAATGGAAGCCAGCTTAATACAATTGACATAAATCCATCCCTGATTGTGAAAAAGCTGAAAAAGTTGAAACCTCAAAAATCCCCAGGCCCGGATTTAATCCACCCCCAGGTACTAAGAGAAACAGCAAATGAGATATGTACTCCTCTATCAACCATTTTCAACGCCCCCCTGAAGAAAGGTGATGTCCCAGCCGACTGGAAGGAAGCAGAGGTTGTACCCATACACAAGAAGGGGAAAAGATCCGTGCCAGCAAACTACCGCCCAATCAGTCTGACATCAGTAGTCTGCAAAATTATGGAATCCCTGATCAGAGACAGCATGATGGAATACCTAATCAGTAACAATCTTTTGACAGATAGCCAGCATGGCTTTGTCCCAGGGAAGTCATGTATCACTCAACTATTACAAGTAATGGAGGACTGGACCCAAATTCTGGAAGAAGGGGACCCCTTAGATGCAATATATTTCGACTTCAGTATTGCGTTCGGAGCCGTCCTGCATCAGCGCCTGTTAAACAAGATAAACAGCTATGGAATAAAGGGGGACCTCTTTAACTGGATTAAGGCATTATCTCCTTGGAAGAAGGCAGAGAGTTAAAATCAACAATAGCTTCTCAACATGGTCGGATGTCCAGTCTGGAATCCCTCAAGGAACTTGCCTCAGGCCGATTTTATCTTTAATGTACATTAATGATATGCCTGACAAGATAAACAGTAATATAAAAATCTTCGCTGATGATACAAAGATCTATGGACCCGTGAAGAACATTGATGGAAGGAGCAATATTCAACATGATATAGATACCCTTATGGAATGGTCAGAAAAATGGCAACTGAAATTTAATCCATCAAAATGTTCAACAATGCACCTTGGAAATAAAAACCCAAAGGAAAACTATACAATAAACAACAACAACATCAAAGCTACAAAATTAGAAAAAGACCTTGGGGTGCACATGGACCCAGAGTTAAAATTTCATAACCATGTAAATAAATGCACCAGTAAAGCAAATCAAGTATTGGGAATCATCAATAGAACTTTTACCAGCCTAGACGAAACAACTCTCCCATTACTTTATAAAACTATGGTAAGACCCCATCTTGAATATGGAAATCAGTATGGCACCCAAGATACCAAATGGACATCAACAAAGTGGAAGACGTCCAAAAGAGAGCGACTAAATTGGTACCAACTTTGAAACATCTCCCCTATCATGAGAGGCTCCAGAGGCTCAAATTATATTCCCTGAGTTATAGGAGGAAACGGGGAGATATGATAGAAGTATACAAGATAATGAATGGAATCTACAACTTGAAAATAGACCAGTTCTTCAAAAAGTCAACATTAACAACAAGAGGACATACCCACAAAATAAGATAAAATTAGTACCGTGGGTACTGGGCTCACATGGTCACATTTTTTGCTGATTTTTTGTTACAAAATTATTTCAAGCCATCTGTCTCTCAGTCAATTAAAATGGCTGAAAAAAAACGGATATAATTTTTTGCCAATAATTTGTAACAAAATTATTTCATACAACTACTCTTTACAGTGACATGGCTTTTTGCAATGCAAGACACCTGAAATTATTTGTAAAGCTAGGAAATGGGCCAAAATTGAATTTCGCGAGACAAAAATGGCGACCATTTTGAAATCAGGCAAGCTTTTGAACAAGGAGTCATAGGGGAGTTTTTTGTATTGATGTTGAACAAAAATAACTTGAAACTGGAATCCTATCGACAGAGGGTTTAAGCAAATGTTCCAAAAGAGGATTTCGCGAGACAGATGGACAAATCAATGTTAACTAAAATGGCTGAAAATAAAAAAAACGGATATAATATTTTGCCGATTTTTTGTAACAAAATTATTTCATATAACTACCTTTTACAGTGACATGGCTTTTTACAATGCAGGACAGCTGAAATTATTTGTAAAGCTAGGAAATGGGCAAAAAGTGAATTTCGCGAAACAAGAATGGCAACCATTTTGAAAATAGGCGAGCTTTTGAACCAAGAGTCATAAGAGAGTTTTCTGTATTGATGTTGAACAAAATTAACTTAAAATGGGAATCCTATCGACAGAGGGTTTAAGGTAAATGGTCCAAAAGTGGATTTTGCGAGACAGATGGACAAATCAATGTTAACTAAAATGGCTGAAAATAAATAAATGGATATAATTTTTCGCTGATTTTTCGTAACAAAATTATTTCATACATCTACTCTTTATATTGACATGGATTTTTACAATGTAGGACACTTGAAATTATTTGTAAAGCTAGGAAATCGGTCAAAAGTGAATTTCGCGAGACAAAAATGGCGGCCATTTTGAAAATAGGCGAGCTTTTGAACCAGGAGTCATAGGGGAGTTTTCTGAATTCATGTTGAACAGAAATAACTTAAAACAGGAATCCTATCGACAGAGGTTTTAAAACGTGCCACAGAAAGTGGATTTCGCGAGTCAGATAGACAAATCAATGTTAACTAAAATGGCTGAAAATAAAAAAAATGGATACAATTTTTCGCCGATTTTTTGTAACAAAACTATTTCATATATCTACCCTTTACATTGACATGGATTTTTACAATGTAGGACACCTGAAATTATTTGTAAAGCTAGGAAATGGGTCAAAAGTGAATTTCGCGAGACAAAAGTGACGGCCATTTTGAAAATAGCCGAGCTTTTGAACCAAGAGTCATAGGAGAGTTTTTTGTATTGATGTTGAACAAAAATAACTTAAAATGGGAATCCTATCGACAGAGGGTTTAAGGTAAATGGTCCAAAAGTGAATTTTGCGAGACAGATGGACAAATCAATGTTAACTAAAATGGCTGAAAATAAATGGATATAATTTTGTAGGACACTTGAAATTATATGTAAAGCTAGGAAATGGGTCAAAAGTGAATTTCGAGAGACAAAAATGGCGGCCATTTTGAAAATAGGCGAGCTTTTGAACCAGGAGTCATAGGGGAGTTTTCTGAATTCATGTTGAACAGAAATAACTTAAAACAGGAATCCTATCGACAGAGGTTTTAAAACGTGCCACTGTTATTGACAGAAAGTGGATTTCGCGAGTCAGATAGACAAATCAATGTTAACTAAAATGGCTGAAAATAAAAAAATGGAAACAAATTTTCGCTGATTTTTGGTAACAAAATTATTACATATATCTAATCTTTACATTGACATGGATTTTTACAATGTAGGACACCTGAAATTATTTGTAAAGCTAGGAAATGGGCCAAAAGTGAATTTCGCGAGACAAAAGTGACGGCCATTTTGAAAATAGGCGAGCTTTTGAACCAGGAGTCATAGGGGGGTTTTCTGTATTGATGTTGAACAGAAATAACTTAAAACAGGAATCCTATCGACAGAGGTTAGCTAGGAAATGGGCTAAAAGTGAATTTCGCGAGACAAAAGTGACGGCCATTTTGAAAATAGGCGAGCTTTTGAACCAGGAGTCATAGGGGGGTTTTCTGTATTGATGTTGAACAGAAATAACTTAAAACAGGAATCCTATCGACAGAGGTTTTAAAACGTGCCACTATTGTTGACGGACAGACGGACGGACGGACGGACAGACAGACGGACAAGTGAGTGATTGCAAAAGCTCACCATGTGAGCTAAAAACACAGACTAGACTGGAACTAAGAAAGAATGCCTTCAGTACCAGGATTGTAAACAACTGGAACTCTCTACCCCAGGATGTTATTGATGCCCCTTCAGTTTCCCACTTCAAGACCCTCTTAGACAGGACGTGGCACTCAGATATATACAATACAGTGCTGGTATATATTAATTGATCAGTCGTTTAATTGGCATATTTTCTTGAATTTTAACATTTAATGTCCCAAACTCCCACAAACTGCAGAAAAGTATACCCCATAAATCATATTTACCAAAATGAGTGTCTCCAAGGCTTCACACCAGCGTATGCATAATGCATTTGTCACGAGTTTGAGCTGAAATTTCGCCAAAATGAAGTAGGCTAAGGGTAGTCTCTGCCAGGTTTGTTTATTGTGGTAAGCTTGTAAGTGCTCAGAAGCAACTAATTCATATGCGCAAAATAATCAAATAATCTGATTGGTCTAAACTTTGCTGCACATGCGCACAATGTGTGCCATGTTTTTTTCTATTGATTTCGTTTCTTTTCATGGAGTTTGCGTTTCAGTGTAACTTCCGCAAAAATGGCGTGACATGGACAGAATTAACAGGTAAAATCACATCGAAATTTCAAGAGAACTTTTTACCTATAATAGCAAAACTTTTGTTTTATCTGTGCATTCTATCTATCAGATAAGAGTCTCAGGGGTATGTAGGCAAATTCATTTTGATAGGAGCACTCTGTTTAGTTTGAAAACGCACCCTTAATTATTATATATCAGCACTGTAGTCACTAGTGAGCAATAGCACTTTCACTATCCCTATTCAGTTAAATAAACCAATACAGATGGGAGAACATTACAGGCTGAAGCCTCCAAATCCTCCTAAACCTGATGATGATGATGACCCATAAACAGCGACATGACTCACATCCAGCAGAGTAAAAAACATGCAGGGATTTATCTTTGGACGAAGGCCAAAATATAGTGGGCTTAGAAGAAGGTAACCTACATGTAGCTTGATATGCACTCAATTTTCAAATCTAAAAAATCTGAATAAAAGAGTATGATTCAATTATGTGGATATTTCCATTTTTATCCAGTAATCAATGAATAAATTCTTATCCCTGAAGGAACTTATGTATTTGCTAAATATAAAATTAATTAAACACACAGATTTACTTACAGTTGACTCTGTAATTGGCTAAAATTGCCAACTTTCCTAGATTTCAAATTTTACAATTTCAATATGGCGCCGACGAGATTCTCGTTTGGCCTACTAATCACAATCCCTAATATCAATATTTCCAGATGTTTTCTTAGCTCGTAGATTTCCTAAAGATATCTTTGGTACACGTAATATTGATTAGAAATAGATTTGTATAATGAGCATGTGCATAGGGTCAGTAATGAGCACTTATATGCTAACTAGGTCAAGGCCACCAACGAGATATGAGATTTGCGAAATTGCGAGATTTGATGAGTAAACAAATATTTCAGCTAATCTCAGCATTTCTAAGCAAATTTGGAGTTACGCTAGGCTAACCATGGATCGCAACAACAGCAATAATATTATTGGTATCGTCCCTCTGCAATATGTGCATGTCTTAAATCTAGTAAGTATGAATAATCTAAATATTCTCATTTTTGTATCAAACTTTTCAACTTTTTCAATGAAATTTTTCAACCCGCATCAAAACCAGCTGAGGAACTCTATGGGAAAGCCGCACAATCTAGAGGTTCTCCCTCAGAGTTTCTCCATCTCATATTTGATTTATACACTTCAATCTTTAGGCACTGGTGGAACGAAAACATTTTGTTAGTACGTGCATCAGTCAACATCTCTAGTCATATAAATCTGACCGTTGTATGCTCTTCTTCGATGTTCCTTGTTCTTATTTGATATTTATTTTTTGTCATTTTCTTAGCATACTCAGTCGTAGGTTATAAATTGATAGGATAGGTTATAATTTGCGGGAAATGCTTTCCTGGTCTGTCTGTCTAAGGGTAACCAATGTCATAATTAATTATTTTGCTACAACTTCAAAGTGTTAAATCTTACCTTAGACATGTAAAACACCTGATAATTGACGAAATCTTATCAATAGAAATATATTTCAATATGGCGCCCCCCCCCTCCCCATGTTACTGAATGTTATTTCCGGTAGTGTAATGTAAACATGTATCGAAACGGAATCATAATTATTTACTACAAAGAGATTCATTTTTGAGACAATAACTTTTCCAAATTACTTTTCTTCTGAACGACACTGCTTGCCTTTCAACTGAATCTTCGTGTATTAAATACTTATGATTTCCTTTTGATATAGTTTTACAAATAGACTAACAGCAGTGTTCTCACTAGGCTTTTAGACTCCAGAGATTCTCCGGAGTCTAATGTCTTTAGACCATCCTGCTCCAGAGTCAAATAGCTTACTGAAATCCAAAGTGTTTTTTCCAGAGTCTAATTTTACTTCTTTGTCACATTATTTGTGGTAAAACTAGAAAATACATTAAAACTGGATACAAACAAGCAGTAGGAAGTCAGAAACCTTTTAGAAATGTTAATATGTTCCAAATAAGAAGATAAACGTATAAGGTATTTTGAAAAGTATACTAACAGGATGAAGTCGCAATACCGCAAAAAATCTGGGGTCTAAAAATATCTTGGTGAGAACGCTGAACAGATTAGCCCGGAAGTGATCTTGGTACATCAAAATGAAAAAAAAAAATTCAAGCAACATGCTTATATTTCTACAATTACTAATCATTTTACATGCCTAAGGTCGGAAAGCGTTTCCCACAATATAAAAGAGGCAAGTGTTTACTATCACTGTATGCAAGAAAATAATAAAAAATAAATATCCAAATAAGAAAAAAAAATAACAACAAATAACAGTATTCAGCGATCGGATTTATATGACTAGACATTGGCTGCACAAATTAAAACTGCTAGAAATACTTTCAAATAAATGTTAGTAGTTGCTATATTTTCAACATACATGTATGTCCTCTGAAGATTTCAAAGTTCTTGGAATAACAGTTTTCAGTATTTACTCTATAACATTGCTTTTCAGGGAACTTTCTCATGTATCTTGTATAAAGCCAATGGCAGGTTTTGTGATTGAAAATTGTTTGAAAGGGAAGTAACTTAGTAACTGAGTAACTAACTCAATAACTTAGTACATGTGCCTTAGTCTAAGTCTGAGTAACTTTATCATTTTCAGGGAACTCTAAAAAAATTGTCAATGGTAGGTTTTGCGATCCGTCAACATTAGCCTCACAAGCATAGAATCTGATATCTTTTTTTCAAAATTTAGCCAAGTGCCCTGCAAACGGCTATGATAACCATGCCTCAATACACTATTATCTATAGTAATGTACAACTTATAACATTTGATGGATGCTGAGGATATATCCCAATGATATTTGAAAGACACAAGTATTGAATATTTCAAAGAAATACCCAGAGAGCTCTTGGTGATTCAAAGGATTATATAGCAATATGCTCCTCTCTTTAGAAATGGTAGCCACAAATCACACAAACTGAGGGTATAGTGATTATCAAAAAAACAAATTTACAAATTATGTTCTCATTGACCAGTCATGTTAAAATTTGAAACATTAGTCCAGAATTGAATATACTTTACGATGGTATATAGATTATGGGGCCACGTGATCTAGGATTGGCCTTGGATGGGGGGATGGTCATTATGAAACACCCTGTTTATCTACTATTTGACCGGTCATTGCCATTTGCCATTGCCATTTGTAACATACATGTATTTCCTGTGAAGATTTGAAAGCTCTTGGAATTACAGTTTTCGGTGTTTACTCCATAACATTTGACAAAAAGTAAGGACTGTTATTTTCAGGGGAACTTTCTCATGTATAAAGCCAATGGCAGGCTTTGTGATTGAAAATTGTTTTAAAGTAACTAAGTAACTGAGAAACTAACTCAATAACTTAGTACCAATCTACCCTGTAAGTCTAACTCTGTAACTTAACAAAACTGATAGAAGTAAAACTGATTCTATAGATGCAAAAAGAGTTGCAGTTTTGAATCTTTTTAGAATTAGTGATGATGATGTTATATTTCACATTTTTGAATCTTAGAATGATGAAGTAATGATTTTAAAATGGCTTGGAGGGAATATTTATGCTGTTGTTTAGAATCGATTGACAAAAAGTATGACTTTCATTATGCTAAAAAAAGTAATATGAATTTCAAAAGGAGGAGGGAAATTAGCGCAACAGATTTTGGACAGTCATATGTTCGATTTTGGCCATTTTCTGAGGATTTAAACAATTGCATATGTTAGGCCAATGCATTGCCTCCAGGAAAATCACTTCTAAAGATGATAAAATAATTTCGACTTTGAGACAGGGTAGATGCAAACAACCCACCCACATATTTTTTCTGAAATGTTTTCCTAATTTTCGACCCCTTCCATCCCTGCTTTTTTAATTTTTCTTGCATAGATATGTTGCATTTTGACACATAGTTAACTACTTTAAAGGAATAAGTGATTCCATCAGGGGTTTTAAAGATACCCATTATGGGTGACCAAACTTAGCTGAAAGCAATGATTTTTCCTATGGGAAAATAACATGGGAAATATTGTTTTCCACTTTATCTAAAAGGAATCATTTATTCCTTTTAAGGGATTAACTGTGTGTCAAAACGCAACATATTGATGCAAGAAAAATTAAAAAAGCAAGGATGGAAGGGGTTGAAAATCAGGAAAACATTTCAGAAAAAACATGTGGGTGGGTTGTTTGCATCTACCCTGTCTCAAAGTCGAAATTATTTCATCGTCTCTAGAAGTGATTTTCCTGGAGGTAATGCATTTGCCTAACATCACGGAGCGGTAGGCAAACTGCGCGCCTACTATGCACGCAGTTTGGAACACTGACAAACTGCGCGCCTATGCACAAAATGGCAGACGGGGAGGACACGACTCCCAAGAGGATGGAAATTACTGGAAATACTAGGTTAATTTTGGTTTTCAGACAGTAGCAAGATGTGGAGACTAACTTACTTTATACGTAGCACTCGATTTTTTTCCCGATGCATATCTAGTTATCTCAAAATAAGGTTCCCAAGGAGCTTTCGTGTTAAAATTATACAGTGTTGCGTCATATAATGTCTGTTTTTCATAGTTTGACGTTTATTCAGCCTTTGTGTTTGCATATTCTGAAAGATATAGGATTGCTGCACATGGTTTAAGTAATATAGTTTGTGTGTTAAACAGTGACAAGCCATTAACGTGATTTTATTTTTTTTCGCTGTCAAACTGTGTGCATACTTTCACGTGGATTTCACAAACTGCGTGCCTAATATTTACAAACTGCGCGCCTATATTTACAAACTGCGCGCCTAATTTGCAAGCTGTGTGCAAGTTTGTTGTGTATTTCAGAAAACGTAAACGCCACTCACTAAACCTGTCCCTATATAAAAAGAAACCAAAGCCTGACCCTAACAAAGATGTAGATAACAACAGCGCATCTTCAAAAACCATGACACCCCCTTCAGAATTAAACAAGATGTTATTCTAAAACGCACCAGTGAAGAAAAGGAAACCAATCAAGAAACCAAAGAGGCAATTATTTAAAGGTACCAGTGACTCATTTGAAAAAACATTAACAGACTGTGAAAACCTCTTGCCCGATGTCCTCTCAAACCTTAAAAGAAATAGTACATTGTGTCAACCCTTCCTCAATTTCTTTGGATTTATCAGGCTCGTATGCTATACATGTACTGCAGTCCGGACATTCAAGTATTACTTCCTTTGGCATATGCTATAAAATAGACTCGGAACTATTGTATCCCCAAAAATTCAAAGATTTAAGTGAAAAAGTTTTGAATTTCTGAATTTTTGCTCGTCATGCATGCATGGTCACTTATTTATGGTAACATGGGTAATAAACAAAGTTTCAAGTCGAAAGAGTGAGATTGCTGTAAATATCTTTTCTTACTCGTGTTGCTAAAACTGTGAATTTTTATAGTATTTTATAATGAGGAATTCATTGAATTCTAAGAAATGGCTTTTTGGACTGCATCAATCAAAAATATAAATAAAAAGGATTCAATATATATTTACACAATTTTTATGAACGTATTGTATTTATGTTGCACCATTGCATCATATAGTGCTAGTTTGAAATAAAGTAGTAAAATAGGCAGGTTCGGCACTTCGATGGGAACTAGGCGGGGGCCACCTGGGTGTCTTTTAGTAGGACCCCAATAGAACAAAACCATTTCATGAGATTTTTGAACTCAACTCTATATGATGAAGTCGAATCATTGCATCATTAAATCATATAGACAAGAACAAAATAAAATATAAATATGTACATTTCCACTGGTTGTCAACCATCAACCCAATTTTAGTTTTTGATTTATTTGAACCTTTTCAATCTCTACCTTTTCAACTTACTTACGTACTCCCATGAAATCACATAGGCCTGCATTACTGAGAAGTCATCAATAATATGCACGCAGTTTGGAAGAGTATGCACGCAGTTTGTGATTTCGGGCTAAAATAGGCGCGCAGTTTGTGTTTTATTACTTCTTTCTGTCATGTTCATCTGTTTTAATACGAAATATTTTGTATTGCACGGGAGGACTGGGTTGAGATTTACCTGTGAATCAAAACCTAAGTGTTTTCTATTTCTGTGAAACGTGCGATATCAACTTATGTATCAGTGATCGAAAAATCGATGTCAATTTTTTGTATTAATCTGCTTATATTTTTAAACCTACATTCATCTGGACATGCATTTCGCTATCACATGGTTGAATCATATAATCGCCACTGAATGGACGTGTGGAACTACAAAACAATTCAGAATTAATGTCTTAAAATGACGTTTGAAAACACAGACTCCAACTTTTATGATGTAATGTTGATAGGCGCGCAGTTTGTCAGTCTTTCAAACTGCGTGCATAGTAGGCAAGCAGTTTGGCTACCGCACCGTGAACATATGCACCTTTTTAAATCCCCAGGAAATGGCCAAAATCAAACATATGACTGTCCAAAATCTGTTGCGCTAACTTCCCTCCTCCTTTGTTTCCAAAAAGGTCACACTAACCTGTACATAATTATTATCAAATAATTACTTTCAATTTTGAACATTGTGAGAATACTTCAATTTTGGGTCTGATAAAAATCATTGCAAAGTTTACAATCAAGCCAAATAAAATTCTCCTTACAGTTCAATATTTGATTGACAGCTCAATTTTTGCACCTTCCATATTTGGGAGTGAAATTGATGGCCTGTGTTAAAACTCCAAGGTCAAGCTGATCTGGTCACTCTTTAAGACATTTTAAAAACAGAATATTGACTGAAATTAATCATTTCTACCTTCGTGTTTCTCAGTTAAAACATATTTATAAGACAAATTGACCTTTCAAAACATTTTTAGCTATCTAATATCAGTTTAGTCCAGAGGTTTTATCATAATCATTTTCATTTTGAAAGGATGTTTTTGAAGTATTTTATAGCACTATTTTTGTCAAAGAATTTCTATTTTACAATCTTCACAAGTTTAGGGTTTCATTGATTTTATTATATGGAATGAGCTTCCGAGAGCCCATTACTTTAAATAACACAAGTATTACGCGTACAGCATTATAACTGAGAAACCCTACTTGGTTTAAAAAGTTGCCCCCCTTCCCCAATCCTTTCATTGGGATATAACCTCTTTTTCTTTTTAGTAAATTGCTCTGTTATCACCGAAGCTTCTCTATTTAGAAGGTGGAGGTGTTACACAAAAAAGCTTATGACAAGAAAAATGCTTCGCAGCAAAGCAATTTTACCCTGCAGTATAACAGGTTCAATTATTTTATTGTAGACAACCAACATTACAAAACTTGAGACGGGACCTCAAACGATTGTGATTCAAACAAATGAGAGACTAGCTGGTGGTCCATTCCCCTTTGTCATAGTTCCACCTGGACACTTCTGCGTTGTTAAAGACCCGGTCAGGTAAATTATACTAGTATGGCAAAATACAAACTCACTGGGTAATACTATTACCAGTGAGCTACCCCAGCATTAAAGCAAGTGGGCGCAGCACCCACTTGGGATTTTGAAAATAGGCTTGCACCCACCTGAAAATCCATTTGCACCCACTTGAAATTAAGAAAAATTGTGAAAAATTGGCATATTTTGACCAATTTTGGTCTGAATTGTGAAAATGAGAATTTGGCACCCACCTGAGAAAAATCCTGGGGAGATCACTGATAACCCTACTAACTATCAAGGTTCAGGTAAGCCTAGAGTTTAAAGAAATCTGGCTTATTAACTTGGGTCTTATATGTCATCCTCGAATACAGGGGTCCAGCCATCATTTAGTACAAGTTCTTGATGCCTGTGTGTTTGGGGGATGTTTATATGTTGGTAGCTTGAAAGGAGGAGGGGGGGGGAGTCTCACAAGAGCTTGTAGCTAAACTAGTGAATACAGATTTTATGCATACAAATAGGTTCAAAATTGACTTCAGCACATTTTAATGCTTAAAGATAATGGCACTATATCACGGTGAGCAACCATACCGCACCGGGGACCGACCCCGGTGCGTTACACTTAAATTGTAACGCTCCGGAGTGAAGAAAAATGGCGGACAATGATAAATGCATAATGGACGCGAGTAGAAATTTTTGATTTACGATGTTTCGTGATTAGGTACGAAGAACTCCTATGTACCATTCAAAGTACAATATATTAAGGAATGATCCAGATCGATTAGATCAGTGATAACTAGCCTATATAATGCAAACAAGATGTAAAAGCACAAGCAACATTAAAATATTTTGATGTTTTTTATTCTTTTTATGAAATATACAGAGTATTCCTAGATTGTGCGAGAATATATCTTATCAACATGATCCTTATGGTTGCATGCAAAATTGTGTCAGTTTAGGAGTTAAATGGTGGTCAGTTTTATGAGATATCACTAAATCTAGTTGTAACGCACCGGTCATATTAGGCCAATATTTGGAAACGCACCGGTGCTTTATTCATTTGTTAATATTACCCTATATTATAGGTCATACTGATAACATAAGAACAATAAATTGATAGTGTGATCCTCATGCTGAGGATCGTACTGCCCCGCTTGTTCTTTCGATTCCACTAATGCAGCAACTGACTTTGTTCCACCCATGAAGCGCAAGAATTTCCCATGGAACATCCGGTAGCCAACTTTCCAGAAGGTTAGAGTTTCCTCGCTAAGTATTAAAGTATACATATAATTGTTATGGTACAATCGTTAGAAACGATATATTCAAATCTATAAATTTTAAAATGAGGATGGGAAAGGGTATATGTATGGAACTAGGGGCAAGACGGATTTTTTGACACACCCATTCACAAATGCATTGAGTGTAGTTCTACCCTACGAAACAATAACGCTTTCAATCGATTGGTACTGATGTTCAAAGTATACAATATTTTATTCATTTGGAAATGTACGGTTTAGTTTTTACGTTGATAATTGTGAAATAATTTTATACCATTTGCTGCAGGGTATAAGAACGGATACACACGAAATGTTATCAAAGTCACTGGTCAGTATCAAGATGCGGTAACGGCCGTTACCTTCTCATCTAAGATGGCGGATGGTAAATGTCGATTTCAATATATTTTGTTTTCATCGAATTAAACTACTTTATAGTTGACGTAATGCTTTGATATTTGAACTTGATAAATCTAAGATATCATGGAAACTTAGGAGTATGACCATTTATTCTTAAATCATACGTGGACGCCATAATTCAACTGTATGTAACACCGCTTAAGGGAAGGTAAATGGAAGTGAATTTTGCAAAATCAAACTCTCAGTTACCTTCCCTTAAGCGGTGTAACATATAATTGAATTATGGCGCCCGTGTATGATTTAAGAATAAATGATCATACTCCAAAGTTTCCATGATATATAAGGCTTATCAAGTTCAAATATCAAAGCATTGTGTCAATTATACGTAGTTTAATTTGATGAAAACAAAAAATATCGAAATCGATATTTTTTGTCCGCCATCTTAGATAAGAAGGTAACGGTCGTTACCGCATCTTGATTCTGACCAGTGAAAGTGTCATATCTTTATCGCCTGTAGTATGTATTACCGTATTTTGCAAACTATCACATTTCGTACTTTGATTTTTTATGCATTTGTGTATTGTATAGGGTGTTTCATAATTACCCTCTCCCATCCAAAACCAATCCTAAATCACATGGGCCTTTAGATTCTCTTAATCTATACATCATCATACAGCTTTTTATCCCATCGAACGAAGTTCGGAGGGATATAGGGAACGCCTCCGTCCGTCCGTACGTACGTACGTCCGTCCGTCCGTCCGTCCGTCCGTCCGTCCGTCCGTCCGTCCGTCCGTCCGTACGTCCGTCCGTCCGTCCGTCCGGGCAATAACTCAAATACCGTTGGCCCTATTTTGTTCATATTTTGTACACATATACCCTATGGGGGTAGAAGTTCTGCTCGAAAGCCGATTTTCAAAATGGCCACTCATTTAAAAATGGTGGCCATTTTAGTGCCGATTTTACAGTAATTTAGGTGCAATATGTAAAACTGTAATAGCAATATGTTTTAAATGTAAAAAAATTATATAGGACATTGATAAAGCTAGAAATGTAGATATTAAAAAAGCACATGGCAGCCATCTTGAAAAATGGCGGATTTTACTCGTTATTTTACGATTTTTGCTGTAACTCAAGAAGTAGTGGAGCGATTTTGTTCATATTTGGTATGTGAATACTATAAGCATGGCTCACTGTCTAATGACATTTTTGGTAGGAGGTGGCCATTTTGAAAAATGGCCGCCATTTTAACATATTTTACTATAACTCAAAAAGTAGTGGAGCGATTTTGTTCATATTTGGTTTGTGAATACTATAAGCATGGCACACTGTCTAATGACACTTTTGGTAGAAGGCGGCCATTTTTCAAAATGGCCGCCATTTTAACATATTTTACTATAACTCGAAAAGTAGTGGAGCGATTTTATTCATATTTGGTTTGTGAATACTATAAGCATGGCACACTGTCTAATGACACTTTTGGTAGAAGGCGGCCATTTTGTAAAATGGCCGCCATTTTAACGTATTTTACTATAACTCGAAAAGTGGTGGAGCGATTTTGTTCATATTTGATATGTGAATACGATAAGCATGGTACACTGTCTAATGACACTTTTGGTAGAAGGTGGCCATTTTGAAAAATGGCCGCCATTTAAACGTATTTTACTCGGCCTTTACTCGTTATTTTACGATTTTTGCTGTAACTTGAAAAGTAGTGGAGCGATTTTGTTCATATTTGGTATGTGAATACTATAAGCATGGCACACTGTCTAATGACATTTTTGGTAGAAGGCGGCCAATAAGAAAATTGGCCACCATTTAAAAGTTTGCTATATATTTCGTTTGTAAAAATGCCAGCCATTTCTGTTCGATGGGATTCGCTACGCTTTGGCGTTGCCGTTGTTCTGGTTTAATAATGCACTTATGGGCTAAATATTGGAACGAGTGATTGTTGGGACCATAATTTGTGGATTTATGTTTTGTCGTCACTATCATCCTAATTTGCTGGATTTATGGCTTCTATTTGTACATTGGGTTTAAAGAGAGGGACAAATAATAACATTATTATTCGTATCATTAAGAGCTTTAAAAGAGCGTAAAAGCTGCTGAGCTTAATCAAAGTTGTTTTAATAAGTCATGAATTGATTGAGCTTTCCTATGATATTATAACACATGGAGGTGCACCATCTAGGATTGGTGACTGACAGGGGACGGTCAATGAAATACCTTGTTATGTGAAATGTACTTCCAGAGTGAGGGTTTGCTTCTAAAGCTAACAACCATACCTGTACGTCATGTTTGAGGTGGAACTAAGGGAATACCACCTCACAACCTCCAGGAAAAGAAGCCAAATATGTTATTCATTGGGAATTTGTCTTTCGCGAGGAGTCTTAGTAGCATAATGAATTCGGTGCAAAAACTGTGTCTTCTGAGACACAATATGACATTTGGTAGCAGTTTCATAGCACTTTCAATTTCAATGTCATAATCAGTGTGTGATTGTTCAAACAATGTTTTTCTAATTTTTGGCTTTTTTCTTTTCTTTGGTGCATTTTTCCTAGCACTTCTGATAGCCTTTGTATTAGCATTGATTGGTGTCTTAAGTGATTTATCGTTAGTTGAGGCTTTTGTACAACCAGCGTCGCTTGTAGTGACGGTAGGTGCAATTAGGCGTTTCTTGTATCTTGAATGCCCAGTTTGCAGTCCAGAACTTCTCCGTTGTTTCCTGTAAAAATAAAACCGGTGCGTTTCTAAATTGTCGTAGATTTGTGTCGGTGCGTTACCCCATCAATTTTGGAAGGTACATTTCATGAAAATAAATGACGCTTATACAATGTTCGAATTGTAAGATATTGAAGAGTAGTATGTTTATAAATATATCTCTATTGAGTAAAAAAATCTGTGGTTGTTCCAATCATTTCTTTGACAAGAAATACAACATTTTAGACGAGCCTCTAACTTTCCTTCGAATTTTTCAAGGTGCATTTACATTTCGTTCACATAATACCGATATGTTACAGCTTTGTGGAATTTTAATAAGGTACCCTGATATATCGTGTTTAGAATGGAATGTGTTAAAAGATATTCACTCACCTCTGGTTTCCACTATTATTTGTTTCCTCCGGAGGAAACACATTTCCGTCCGCCATTTTAAAAGGACAGTGCGTTACCAACGCTCCGGGGAAAAGTGTAACGCACCGGGGTCGATCCCCGGTGCGGTATGGTTGCTCACCGTGTATATGTATTATAAATAAAAGCAATGGCGTAGCGTCATATACGCATAAAACACCATGGCGTACTCTCAAAATTTAGAAAACAGTTGATTTTTTATATTGATTTGCCCCACACTTCAAAAATGGCTAATAATTTACATTCTATTCGTCAATAATAGTCAGAATTTCGTATTTCAAACGCCCCAGAACGCTTCAAATGCTATCTCATTTTCTTTTTCACTTTCTTTTTTTCTTGGGGGGACCTTCCCCGAACCCCCCTCAAAGCACGTCTATTTCGCTTACTCGCGGCGTACACTCACAAAATACCCACGCTACGCCACTGAAAAGAATACAAATATAAGTGTCACTTTTATTTCATTACAAGAATTTAAACATTCAACCATTGCTAAATACTCTCAGCCAATCAAACTGCATATTTACTGTTCATTATTGTTCAACAATGAACAATCTATGATGTATGTCTGGACATCAGTAATGTTATGTTTTACCAAAATCCATGGATCAATTTTGTGACTTAAAGTCAGCTTAGTTAAAATCTGTCTGCACATTCACTTTTTGTTGCCTTTTCATGAATTGCAGAGATATCCAAATAATTGAAATGTGAATTTTTAAAGGAATCAGAAAATGAGATTGCCTGTTAATAATATGAAGTTGAAGGAGTCAACATGATCAGTTTTTCATTCAGTTCAGAAAAATGGCAATTTAGAAATATATGGAAAAGTTCAGAATTGGCTTTATCTTAAATATACATGTATACGACAAAACCATAAATTAACAATTGAATTTACGATATATAAAAGTTCAGAATTGGACTCCTGATGAATATTTTGCTCAGATATTGTTTACATTTCATTCTAAGTTACTTTTTTTCTTTTATGAATCATCATTATTTTATTCCAATACAAGTTGACAAAACTTTACAATTGCCAAAGTCTTAGTGACATTGACGGCAATTTATACTGGTAATACTGGAATATCCTGCTCATTTATAGATATCTAATCCTACAAGGATCTAAATGTTTACCAATTGTTTAGATCTAAATGTTACCAATCGTTTAGATCTAAATATTTACCAATCATTTATTATTCCCTATGAAATGATTTTATATATTCATCTTTTTCAATTTCAGTAACTATGTACATGAGAAAAGTTGTGAGCAAAAGTTTGGAGAAGTTAGCATAAGATTACATAAGGTATGTATTGAAATATTGGTTCATTTGCAAGAATTTAATTTGATTTTTACTTCCTCTTCTTCCAAATGTTATCTTTGTTGAAGGTTTTGACAGATACATAACTGAATGAATTGTTTTTTTATAATCATTTATTTTTTCATATATGTTATAGGTACAATGAATCAAATAATAAAGTTTGACAATGTCAGACCAAGCCCGAGGCCTAAATAATTTTTAAAGGCCCTAATTCAAGCTTGAAAATGTTCATAGGGCCTTTAACACTGTTTTCATTTCTCATTTAGGAACCATTTCCTTTATATCCTGGAGAACGTATTGAGGATGCTGAGAACTTTGGCACCACGGAGAGCACTTACACCAAAGCTATAAAACCTCTACCAGTGATCAAGGCTAATTATGGCTTAAAGCTGAAGGCAAGAAGGGACCATATAATTGGGGGAACTAAACGTAATGCTGGAGATATATGGCAACTTAAAGGCCCCCTTACATACTACCCCACACCAGAAGCAGTAAGTAAACCCAAAAGTAATTTCTGGATTTATTATATTATGTATACTCAAGAGGGAAAACCCTTAGAGTTTCAAGATGACTTATAATAACCTCTCCTGCTTACCACCTTTATTTGATTTGAATGTCCACCATCTAGTTTTTGAATACCACATGTTGATGTGATGTTTTTCAATTTATACATATTCCTTATATCTTTTTGTAGCTTGATGTGAAATAACAAGCTATAATATTGGTAAACACGCAAGAAATAAACATGATATTATTCGCACCTTTTTTAGAAAATTTTGAATTCAAAAATTTGTTTACATCACTTTCTGTCAAATATTGAATTGCCCCACACTTTAAAAATGTATAAAGATTGCCAATAATTTACATTTTATTAGTCTATATTTGTTGGACTGTCATATTTAAAATGCCCCATAATGCTTCAAATGCAATCTCACTTTCAAATTTTCTTTGAGGCGAACTCTGTTAAACCCTCTCAAAGCTTGTTCGCATCGCTCACTCATGGCATACTCTCACAAAGTACCTATGCTACGCCCCTGGGGACAATGTTTCATCTCTACATGACTTTCCATTGAAAATACATGTATGGGTCTTCTCTGAACCCTGGGGTATTCCCCAATCTTGATGTACTCATAGCACTCACTTCCTGTAGTGTTCATTCTCTATCATGGCTGATCATATTTCACTTTCAGAATATTTTTTTCATTTTATACATGTTAATCTTTGAGAATGGAAAAGATACCCCTGTATTTTTTTTTCTATATATTTAAGTGTCCTTAGTATGTTTATCATTCATAACATAGAAGTATTTCAAAAAAGCTTAGCCTTCCATAATTAATGTACTGTATTAAACCTGCATCTTAAAGTTGACCCCGAAACAACCCAAGATTGCAATTTACATGTAAAGCAATTGTGCAGGTTTAATGTATTATGCATATAAAGTTACAAATCAACCAGAGGTCCACTATCAGTATAATTGAATTCATAATCAAGTCCTGCATCCAAAAGTTCCCTCTCAGTAATCTTTCCATCATGATCTGTGTCCATGTAGGCAAATTGCATTCTTGCCAGAAATTTCATCACCTTCGTGTTGTACCTTACCCTGAGCATTCAATTGTCACACTTAATTTAGTACATACCCTGTGAGTACAGGTATAGTGACACTGGACCCATGACTCTTACACATGAGTGAACCCATTTGGAGAATGAACTTGCCAGGAACATATGTTTTGTCTTATGATAAATATCAGAGTTCCTCTCAAAATAAATAAAAAGGAACTGTGATGAATCAGAATTGTTATATTTTAGTTTCATACACCTATTTTCATTATACTTGTATGCATGTATTTCTCTGTGTAATTTTCAATGAAAGATCTATGTAGGTGTACTTGTAGAATTAGCCATCTCTTGGACACATTTCAAAAATCAACCAGAGGTCCAAAAAAGCAATTCTTTGTGTCACAATCAGTATAATTATGTTCATAATCGAGGGCTGCATCAACAAATTCACTGGCTGAGATCTTCTCATCATGGTCTGTGTCCATGTAGGCAAATTGCAGTCTGCCTAGACTTGGGTCCAGACCAAGGGCCTTCCACCAATGCATGTACTCAGAGATACTTATTAAACCATCAGAGTTGAAGTCCAAAGCCTGTAAATAAAGTTTTATATTCAGGCGCAAGCTGCCATTGCTCAGACATTGCTTTTTGGATTTTTAGTTTTAACTCTTAATCCCATTTTCAGTTAGAGCATTATGTACATGATAAAATCACACTTATAAAACCAAATATACTCTAGTTATTGTAGACTTACCTGAAAAAGTTTGGTATAAAATGCCTGCATTTCTTTGACAACCTCTGCTTTATCTACACCTGACCATAATTGCAATGTGTGTTCCCACCAGGTCTTTGTCAAGATATCCTCATCTGCTTTTTTCAAACCGTCAGCAAACTCTCTGAAGGATTGTCTAACATTATCAGATGCCACGCCTTGCAAATTAGCTGCAACCGAAATATATGCAGTTATAAATAACCTTCATTTTTGGCTTACACAGTGACCTTAAAGAATTGACTAGGCATTCTTCCATTGGTCCGTCTGTCTGTCTGTCAACATTGGCCGCATTAACACTGCTTTTTCGTATTGAGTCATATCCAAATAATCCATTTTATTATAACACCTATGTGACTTGTCATCGCCATTTCCAAATTTCGCCCATTTTCTGAGAATTTGCTGATTTCGATGTGCAACATGGCCTCTGATGATTTTAAAGCTCTTGGAATTACAGTTTTTGGTGTTCACTCTATATGTTTGACAAGTAGGACTTTTTCAGGGAATTTTCTCATGTATAAAGTCAATGGCAGGTTTTAAATTGTAACTAGATTTAAGCCTTCTCTACAAGTTACTAAAAATCAGCATTAAATTTTTACTGTTTTTGAGATATTTGACGTCAAAAAGCAGTAAAAATAGTTTTGACCTTCGAAAGATCAAAAAGTTGATTTTTTTAATTGAATTTTTGGATTAAAAATTTGGTCACCTCAATCACAAAAGACCTACTGAGCCTAGAAAAATAAAATTTCCAAGGTCGAAGGTCTAAGTTTCTCAAAGTTCAAGACTACAAATCAATATTTTTGGTTGAAGGTCAGGATATACATTCCTCTAAAGGTTCTACACTGTTTGAGCGCAGGGCCATTGGTCCTTCATTGTAACCTTGGATACATTTTATTGTGTCTACGTACATGGCTGTAATACAAGGAAAAGTTTAATTGTCTAATTCCTCAGTCACATTTGCGGCAACTGTACGGCAGTCGTAGCTTCCCAAAATCATGAAAAAATATGCAGCACAAAATATAGGGATAAGCAATACAAGTCAATGTAGATTTTCTATATCGATTTTGTGAAGCTACAGCTGCAGTACACGTGTCATTGAGCAAATATTACACTTTCTTACAAGCTACAATCTACCAATCATTTGATTTACCCGATTTCACAATACGTTGTGCTATTGTCATTACATCGTCATGTGAGGTTATTCCATCACCATCAAGGTCAGTAGCAGATAGGAGTGTTGCCATTTTTCTGACCCAAATATGTGGGAGATCTTTTATCTGAAGAACAGCACACTTAGTTTAAGAATTAAAAATGAATATGTCAGAGTTCAAAAGTTCAATAGACTTTCCATTAAATCCCGACCCCTTTGAAAAATAAAGCAAAATTAAAATTAGCGATGAGATCTATTTTCTGCCCTGAATCATTACAACCAAAAGGTAGATGGATGGAACAGTGAAACATCTGTATACTGAACATATTTTGGCCAAGAAAAAACATTCAGTATTGGTAGGTGTTAACTACAGAGAGGTGTTCTATATTATATTGATCTATTGTAAGTCTTCCATCATGTTATACATGTACTTGATAATCATTTATGATACATAATCTCACCTTTTTCTTTGTATCATCCATAACAGAGTTATTGACACAGCTCATTCTGTTTTTCATTTAAAACAGGTTTGTTCCCAGGGGTTGCTATCTCGTTTTCACCTGAACTAAATTGTAATGTGATTTATGCTATGCTGTATAAAAACGATCTAGCATTGATAACAGTGTGACATAGTTTTTATATATTTTATAGTTCATATAGTTTGTGTTTTATTTCAATTGGAATAAATTATACATCGAAATAAATGGAAGACCCCCTATTTGGAGTTTTATCCACATTATAACATTAGAAAATGAAAGAAATAACAAGATGTCCATATCACTGCATCCTATCTCAGCCTCAGCCCCCCCCCCCCCCCTACAGCCACATGTAAATAGTAAATATAGTTGAATGCCAGAAATGCGTCTCAGGATAATTGAATATTATGGGTTAGTTTCAGGCCATGTTTATTGATATATGTTGATATTGTGGTCAACTTCAACAAAACAGAGAATGTTTTACATAGGTCATGTGTTTTTGGTGAATATCTTGTTAACTATTGACTTTTTAAAATACATATGTATAATTGACTCCCTATAATGTGGTCATTTCGGATATTTTGAGTGGTCACACAACCTTTTTTGTCAAACAGTTCTGAAGATACAAAATGGGGGGAGAATTTGCATAAAAAGGGCGTGTTTATTTGACCTATTACGCCTTCAGTGGCAAATATGTTACCAAATTGATCAATGACCTTGACATAGATGATTTCTGAAAATCTCTGCACATAGAAGAGCATACTCAACCAGCATGAGCTTTTAGAGTATATATGTCTTATAATAAATTAGATCCCTCAAATTAGATAAAAAGTGACTGCGATAAATCAGAATTGTCATATTTCAGTTTCATACTCCCTATTTCTTTTTTATGCATGTTTTTCTCTATGCAATTTTCAATAATACTTTTATCACACTGTTATACCATGACAATTACTTCAAGGTGATTTGCAAAAATTTGTGGTATCGATAACAAAAAATGGCGGATGAGAAAGACAGCATGTCTTCTTTCTCGCCTGTAGGCAAGATTCATAGATAAGATTTCCTTTTAACCTAGTTCCATTTGGTGACATATATATGGTTGGTTATAAGGACTGATAGAGTCAAATCTGCCAGGTGGTCTACAAGAAGCAGAATATAAGCTGTAAACCTAATGGCTGAGATATCCAAGTTCATATCCAAGTCCATTCTCGTGCTTTCTCAGTATATGTGCCTCAGAGCCACTAAAAATATTAACTGTAAGTAAATTGTGTATAAACAAGCCATACAAGCCATGTACACCTGTTAAGTCAAGGTTGCTAGATCTGATAGCCTCTTTCCATGTTATTGTTATGATTGGCAAGAAATGGAATCTTGAATTACCCAGACTTGCCAACCTCCCGTTTTTTACGGGAATCTCCTGTAAATTTTTTGTTTTTCCGTAAAAAATACCAAACTCCCGTACCGTTTTCTCCCGTAAAAACTCCCGTAAACTCCCGTACCGTATTTCTACTAAAATCTCCCGTAATTTTTTTTAAAAATATGGCCGTAAAATCTCCCGTATTTTTGCTGAAATCTCCCGTATTCTGGAGTAACTCCCGTAAAATCTCCCGTATTCTTGGTATAACTCCCGTAAAATCTCCCGTTTTCTGGTATAACTCCCGTAAAATCTCCCGTATTCTTGGTATAACTCCCGTAAAATCTCCATTTTTTGCTGTCGAAATCTACCGTATTTAAAAGGAATTTGACAAATTTGTGACCTTGATTATTGCAGACACGCTTCTTTCTTTTATTTCAAGTACTCCATGGTTCACTATCGATACTTTCATAAATAACCTAAAAGTACTTCATTCCCATGATTCAAATTGCTTTTCTGCGATCAGTTCGGTATAAGTTTGCACAGCAAATGTCCACAAACGGGGGCCAGTTCATATTCTGTCATACTTCTGACGGGAGAATACATTTTGTTTTTATATGGCGCTTAACAAAATATTCCCGCAATAAAGGGCGCATTATGGGTAGGGACTGCTGTGAAATAATGAACGTAAGTGACATCTATCTTAGATTATAAGTTCTAATTAATTTATTAACTGCGCATGCGTCATAATAATTTCAACCAATTAAATCGCTGGATTTAATGCTCATAAATCTACCGGAAAAACTCCAGTTTTTTTTCAAAATCTAAAGTAAAAACTCCCGTTTTTTCAGAAATCTACCGTAAAAACTCACGTTTTTCAAAATTTACCGTAAAAACACCCGTTTTTCAGAAACCTACCGTAAGAACTCCCGTTTTTTTTCTGAAATCTACCGTAAAAACTCCCGTTCTTTCAAAATCGACCGTAAAAACTACCGTTTTTTCAAAATCTAAAGTAAAAACTGCAGTTTTTTCAGAAATCTACCGTAAAAACTCCAGTTTTTTCAAAATTTACCGTAAAAACTCCAGTTTTTTCAGAAATCTACCGTTAAAACTCCCGTTTTTTTTAAATAATCTACCGCAAAAAACTCCTGTTTTCTCAAAACCTACCGTAAAACTCCCGTTTTTTCAGAACCTACCGCAAAAACTCCCGTTTTTTCTGAAATCTTCCGTAAAAAAGTCACGTTTTTTTAAATTTACCGCGAAAAATACCTTTTTAAAAAAAAATCTCCCGTAAAAACTCCCATTTTTTTCAAAATTTACCGCAAAAATTCCCGTTTTTTTTAAATCTCCCGTAAAAACTACCGTTTCTTTCAAAAATCTCCCGTAAAAACTCCCGCTTTTTTTCAAGAAACTCCCGCAAAAACTACCGGATTTTGAAAAAAACTCCCGCAAAAGTACCGCAATTTTTTTTAAATCTCCCGTAAATTTTTCATTTTAGGTTGGCAAGTCTGATTACCTATATTTGTTTTCAAGTCTGGCAAGAGACCCTCTTGTTTGAGCCCCTATAGGTTAAGGAAAAAACTATAGTGGCTTGCTTTATTGATGAAACCAATGAAAGTGAAAAAGAAAGCAAGAGGCAAAATAAGAGTTAACATCAAGTACTGATAAAGATGACAAAATTGTAGAAATAGCCATCTCTTGGACGCAGTTCAAAAATCAACCAGAGGTCCAAAAAAGCGATTCTTTGTGTCACCATCAGCATAATTGTGTTCATAATCAAGGGCTGCATCCACAAATTCCCTCTCGGTAATCTTCTCATCATGGTCTGTGTCCATGTAGGCAAATTGCAGTCTAGCAAGACTTGGGTCCAGACCAAGTGCCTTCCACCAATGCATGTACTCAGAGATACTTATAAAACCATCAGAGTTGAAGTCCAAAGCCTGAAAATAAAGTTTTATATTCAGGCTCAAGCTCCCACTGTTTAGAATGATTTACACTAAAATACATACATACATGTACATAGTCTATACTAGGCAGAGGGTAGTTTATAACTAGACTCTGCATGCAGGGTATGATGAAGTCAAACTTATAAAACGTAATATACCCTTAAGAAAAAACGCTTGTTTTCCCCTCATGTGGTTAAAAGATGACCTTTTTTAACCATATTTTTACCACTCAAGATATGTTTAAGTGTGGTTGTGGTCACCTGTTTTGACACTCATAAAAGTGTGGCCCCCGCTAGTATTTCTTCCACAATTCCATGAAATATCTCCCCATAGTTTCTCCTCATAATGAGAAAGTCTGGTTTAGGTGTTCCTGAAACTATGGAGAAGCAGGACATTAACTTTAATATGATTTTAGGTTACCATATTGTTAATAGGGGTTAAAAGGGTTAATGCTTGTTAAATATATTTTTGGATTTACTGTACATGATAAGTCTGTTATACATGTACCTGTTATTCTGGTGTCTAAATTGTTTCGTGCATCTTTTTCATCAAACAAATATTTTATTAAACATATGTGACACAAATGAGAATGTTGTATGATTGAAGCATGAATAATTTGTCTCAATTATTATTGATTTATTGGTGTATATTTTAATCTTTGACCATCCCAGAGTTTATCTCTACAGGATATTTCAGTGAAACTCCTCGAATTGTGAAAATTGGTGACCTATGAAAGTGGACTGTTGACAATACCAATCAATCAAATTTCAATATGCTCCCATACCAATTAATTTGCACAATACTATTGGCAGTTACATGTAAATAACACCACAAAGTCATACCAAATGTCAAATAGGGACCCGATACCAAATTAAATGTCCAAATATAGGACCAATTATATGGGAAACAATCAAAATCAACCTCAATTTTTATTCACTATCAAAGAGGATGATGTTTGAATATGACTATTCATCGTTCATTGAAGGCTGCTTGGCACCTGTCACCTGACTGTGACCAATGACAATTCTGCAATAAACTTTGTAAAATATATAAAAAGTGTAAGCACTGGAGATTAATAACAGGAAATAAAATGAGTATTTGCTATTCATACCAAGGTTAAGATTGAGTCTATTGCCAAAGTAGGTTGGGTTGTTCTATTATGAGAAATCTAACAATTTTAAGCAGTGTAAAAACTAAATTGAATTAAAAGAATTCCATTATATATAATAAAAACCACTGACCATAAGATTCAAAGGAGTGGGTCGGGTGTGGTATGAGTGTGGTTTGGAGATTGTATAAGAGCAGTACAGGTATGGGTGATATATTATATGAATAAAAAATGCTGTCTAAAAATGTGGGAAAAGTGTGGTCTTTAAGTCAACAAACCTAAAAATGTTTACATAAGTTATAACAACAATGTTCAGTTTCACAGCTAGGACAAAATGAGTTTACTCAGATCTAGCTCAGATATAGATTTAATGAAAATTAGCACCCAAGATCCATCATTAAACATTTAATTATTAATCAAATGATTAATTATCATCATATAATTATTAATAATCATACTGAAAAAGGGACACATTGAAGTGACGAGCCTGAACTGAACATACAGAGTCAATCAGAACTTGCCATCTAGATAGATACAGAAAAGTATCATTTAAAGCTCTGTAAATGAATAGAATTATCTGTTAAACCTACTTACAAATCTGAAATATGGTCCCCAAGCACAAAAATAGGACCCACGGTCCTGTGCTCACACAGTTTGGAACCTTCAGAGAAGTGTATATCCTGACTTTCAAACAAAAATATTGATTTGGATTTGTAGTCTCGAACTTGGAGAAACTGAGACAGCACAGTTG